TCTAAAGTAGAGCATCATGCACAGTGCCAGTGTTAGAGGGCTGAACAGAGGAACTTCTCTCTAAAGTAGAGCATCATGCACAGTGCCAGTGTTAGAGGGCTGAACAGAGGAACTTCTCTCTAAAGTAGAGCATCATGCACAGTGCCAGTGTTAGAGGGCTGAACAGAGGAACTTCTCTCTAAAGTAGAGCATCATGCACAGTGCCAGTGTTAGACGGCTGAACAGAGGAACTTCTCTCTAAAGTAGAGCATCATGCACAGTGCCAGTGTTAGACGGCTGAACAGAGGAACTTCTCTCTAAAGTAGAGCATCATGCACAGTGCCAGTGTTAGAGGGCTGAACAGAGGAACTTCTCTCTAAAGTAGAGCATCATGCACAGTGCCAGTGTTAGAGGGCTGAACAGAGGAACTTCTCTCTAAAGTAGAGCATCATGCACAGTGCCAATGTTAGACGGCTGAACAGAGGAACTTCTCTCTAAAGTAGAGCATCATGCACAGTGCCAATGTTAGACGGCTGAACAGAGGAACTTCTCTCTAAAGTAGAGCATCATGCACAGTGCCAGTGTTAGAGGGCTGAATAGAGGAACTTCTCTCTAAAGTAGAGCATCATGCACAGTGCCAATGTTAGAGGGCTGAACAGAGGAACTTCTCTCTAAAGTAGAGCATCATGCACAGTGCCAATGTTAGACGGCTGAACAGAGGAACTTCTCTCTAAAGTAGAGCATCATGCACAGTGCCAGTGTTAGAGGGCTGAACAGAGGAACTTCTCTCTAAAGTAGAGCATCATGCACAGTGCCAGTGTTATAGGGCTGAACAGAGGAACTTCTCTCTAAAGTAGAGCATCATGCACAGTGCCAGTGTTAGAGGGCTGAACAGAGGAACTTCTCTCTAAAGTAGAGCATCATGCACAGTGCCAGTGTTAGAGGGCTGAACAGAGGAACTTCTCTCTAAAGTAGAGCATCATGCACAGTGCCAATGTTAGAGGGCTGAACAGAGGAACTTCTCTCTAAAGTAGAGCATCATGCACAGTGCCAGTGTTAGAGGGCTGAACAGAGGAACTTCTCTCTAAAGTAGAGCATCATGCACAGTGCCAGTGTTAGACGGCTGAACAGAGGAACTTCTCTCTAAAGTAGAGCATCATGCACAGTGCCAGTGTTAGAGGGCTGAACAGAGGAACTTCTCTCTAAAGTAGAGCATCATGCACAGTGCCAGTGTTAGAGGGCTGAACAGAGGAACTTCTCTCTAAAGTAGAGCATCATGCACAGTGCCAGTGTTAGAGGGCTGAACAGAGGAACTTCTCTCTAAAGTAGAGCATCATGCACAGTGCCAGTGTTAGAGGGCTGAACAGAGGAACTTCTCTCTAAAGTAGAGCATCATGCACAGTGCCAGTGTTAGAGGGCTGAACAGAGGAACTTCTCTCTAAAGTAGAGCATCATGCACAGTGCCAGTGTTAGAGGGCTGAACAGAGGAACTTCTCTCTAAAGTAGAGCATCATGCACAGTGCCAGTGTTAGAGGGCTGAACAGAGGAACTTCTCTCTAAAGTAGAGCATCATGCACAGTGCCAGTGTTAGACGGCTGAACAGAGGAACTTCTCTCTAAAGTAGAGCATCATGCACAGTGCCAGTGTTAGACGGCTGAACAGAGGAACTTCTCTCTAAAGTAGAGCATCATGCACAGTGCCAGTGTTAGAGGGCTGAACAGAGGAACTTCTCTCTAAAGTAGAGCATCATGCACAGTGCCAGTGTTAGAGGGCTGAACAGAGGAACTTCTCTCTAAAGTAGAGCATCATGCACAGTGCCAATGTTAGACGGCTGAACAGAGGAACTTCTCTCTAAAGTAGAGCATCATGCACAGTGCCAATGTTAGACGGCTGAACAGAGGAACTTCTCTCTAAAGTAGAGCATCATGCACAGTGCCAGTGTTAGAGGGCTGAATAGAGGAACTTCTCTCTAAAGTAGAGCATCATGCACAGTGCCAATGTTAGAGGGCTGAACAGAGGAACTTCTCTCTAAAGTAGAGCATCATGCACAGTGCCAATGTTAGACGGCTGAACAGAGGAACTTCTCTCTAAAGTAGAGCATCATGCACAGTGCCAGTGTTAGAGGGCTGAACAGAGGAACTTCTCTCTAAAGTAGAGCATCATGCACAGTGCCAGTGTTATAGGGCTGAACAGAGGAACTTCTCTCTAAAGTAGAGCATCATGCACAGTGCCAGTGTTAGAGGGCTGAACAGAGGAACTTCTCTCTAAAGTAGAGCATCATGCACAGTGCCAGTGTTAGAGGGCTGAACAGAGGAACTTCTCTCTAAAGTAGAGCATCATGCACAGTGCCAGTGTTAGAGGGCTGAACAGAGGAACTTCTCTCTAAAGTAGAGCATCATGCACAGTGCCAGTGTTAGAGGGCTGAACAGAGGAACAGAGAGTTTAGGGTGAAGTACTGCAGGCGTGCATTTCTGAGTGACATGGAAAATTCCTCACTCATCTCACACTCTCACTCTCTGTCCTTCTCTGTGTGTGACAGGGTCTGGGTAGTGACAGGGTCTGGGTAGTGTCAGGTCCTGCTTTTTACAGTCCCCTAGCTCTGCTCTAATCTACTATCTGTGTTTGTGTGTGTCTCTATCTATCAGGTCCGCGATTTCGACGTCTACTTCATGTCGTCCACTGAGCTGCTCCAGAACACATCAGTGCTGGCTGTTCTGCTGTTCCTGGCCCTAGTGCTACAGCGAACCTTCCTACAGGCCTCCTACTACGTCACCATAGAGACCGGCATCAACCTCCGTGGAGCCCTGCTGGTGAGTGACTGGAGGATTCTGGGATTTGTAGGATACTGTGTTCCGATTCTCCACCCTTTACCCAAAGTGTTCACTTGTTCAGTCTCTGTCATGGATTTAAAAGCATTAGACTGGTGTAGGCATCGACTGAAGGGAGTTTCCACCATTGATCAATTCATGGCGGGGAGTAGGGAGGTGCACAAATAAAGTGGAGAATCGGGACAGCCGTAGACAGTCACAGAGGTGGAGAATCTAACAGCCGTAGACAGTCACAGAGGTGGAGAATCTAACAGCCGTAGACAGTCACAGAGGTGGAGAATCTAACAGCCGTAGACAGTCACAGAGGTGGAGAATCTAACAGCCCTAGACAGTCACAGAGGTGGAGAATCTAACAGCCGTAGACAGTCACAGAGGTGGAGAATCGGGACAGCCGTAGACAGTCACAGAGGTGGAGAATCGGGACAGCCGTAGACAGTCACAGAGGTGGAGAATCGGGACAGCCGTAGACAGTCACAGAGGTGGAGAATTGGGACAGCCGTAGACAGTCACAGAGGTGGAGAATCGGGACAGCCATAGACAGTCACAGAGCAGGAGAATCTAACAGCCGTAGACAGTCACAGAGGTGGAGAATCGGGACAGCCAAAGACAGTCACAGAGCAGGAGAATCTAACAGCCGTAGACAGTCACAGAAGAGAATATACTGTATCTAGTACGTTGTTAATGTCCTCTGTCCTGTCCGTTTCCTAGGCGATGATCTACAACAAGATCCTGCGTCTGTCCACCTCCAACATGTCCATGGGAGAGATGACCCTGGGCCAGATCAACAACTTGGTTGCCATAGAAACCAACCAGCTCATGTGGTTCCTCTTCCTGTGCCCCAACCTCTGGGCCATGCCAGTGCAGGTGGGTTTTGACTAGATAGAATTCAGCATATGTCGAAATTTACTTTTTATAGCAGGTTAGGAGAACTTACACAGTAGGTTAGGAGAATTAATGTAGCAGGTTAGGAGAATTAGGTTAAGGTTAGGTACAAGGTGTCCCCTGTAGCTCAGTTGGTAGAGCATGGCGCTTGCAACGCCAGGGTTGTGGGTTAGTTTCCCACGGGGGGCCAGTATGAAAAATGTATGCACTCACTAATTGTAAGTCGCTCTGGATAAGAGCATCTGCTAAATGACTAAAATGTAATGTAAATGTTAGAAAAAGGGTGTCAATTTGATGTCAATTTAACATAAGTGCAGGTGGGGCCATGCTGTTAAGATACAATCTATCTGGACATACTCTTTATGTATGATCCAGGCAAAAATCCCGATCTTAAAGTGGGTTCCAAAGCATGATTTTGTCCCAGAATATGGGTTAACAAGTATATATTTTTTTAAGCCATTATCCCCCAGTACCAATATGACTGTAATATTGTGCATCACTAATATATCCCTAATATATCCCTAATATCCCTAATAACTCCCTAATATATCCCTAATATATCCCTAATATCTCTAATAACTCCCTAATATATCCCTAACATATCCCTAATATATCCCTAATATCCCTAATAACTCCCTAATAACTCCCTAATATATCCCTAAAAACTCCCTAATATATTCCTAATATCTTTGTGTTGTGTTCCTACTCAGATTGTGATGGGTGTGATCCTGCTGTACTATCTTTTGGGGACCAGTGCTCTGATTGGAGCTTCAGTCATCGTGCTGCTGGCTCCAGTCCAGTACCTGATCGCTACCAAGCTGGCTGACACCCAGAAGAGCACCCTGGTGAGTCACCCTCTGTTCACTTTGAGACACTCAGGTTGAACACTGCCTGCACCAATCCCTTAGATCGTAGTTTCACTGTCACTTTAGATACGAACCTGCAAGCTTTACCATGAATAAATAGCCTACGTTTGAGTGATTTCAGTTATTTTCTGTTGTGATGAGGGAAACAGTATATGATGAGGAAACAATATATAACAAAATATTCATCTTTCTAATACTTATTCTGTGGTTTGGATCTTCACTAAGGCATCTCCCTTTTCTGACAGGACCATTCTACAGACCGTCTGAAGAAGACCACAGAGATTCTGAAGGGGATCAAGCTGCTGAAGCTGTACGCCTGGGAGAACATCTTCTGTGACAGTGTAGAAGACACCAGGGGCAAGGAGCTCACCAGCCTCCGCACCTTCGCCCTCTACACCTCCATGTCTAGTGAGACACACACCTTTGCTCTCCACACCTCCAATGAGACACACAGCCCCTCCTCCGTTACTTTATAATAGCTATCACATCCTTTCTATTGAGCTGTGAAATCACCTTCATTTTGTCCAGAAAGACACTCACGCTGCTTATATTTTGTTCTCATTTATTCCTTTATATTTGGGGCTCAGTTTGAATTAAGAGCTTTGAAGTTTGAAAATGTCTATGTTCTCTCTAAATGCTCTCCGTTACATAATATGACCTATTTTTCTCCCCAGTTTTCATGAATACTGCTCTCCCCATCGCTGCTGTGCTTGCGGTAAGAGGGTTTCTCATCATTCCGGTATCCTGCAGGCCAATTATAGGCCAATTTTAGCTAGTGTTTTGCCAGCTCTGAAATCTGGTAACAATACTGAACTGAGTAACTGTGTGTCCCTTTGTGTCTCTGTCAGACTTTTGTCAGCCACGCCCTGATCAACGAGACCCGACCCAGCCCCTCGGAGGCCTTCGCTGCTCTGGCCCTCTTCCACATCCTGGTTACCCCACTGTTCCTTCTCTCCACCGTGGTCCGCTTCGCAGTCAAGGCCATGGTCAGGTGAGAGGCCTACTGAGGACGCCCAGGGATACTGAATACTGGATAGCTACCAGCTAGACAATCTGCTGGAATCTTAATTGTATCATAGCAGTGTTATTTATGTGTTTGTGTGTGTCCTATCATATCCTATCCTATCCACAGCGTCCAGAAGCTGGGTGAGTTCCTGCAGAGCGATGAGATTGGCGATGACAGCTGGAGGAACGGAGACATGTCTGTGTCCCTAGAGGCCTGTAAGAAACACCCTGGGGCGGTGAGTACACACACACACACACACACACACACACACCACCACTATTACCGAACACTGCCCCCATACAGGCCTGAGTTGTGTTTAGTAGGGCACACTGAAGTAAAATGTAAACAAAACAGTAAACTAAATGGTGTTTCTTATTGGACAAGTCGAGGTAGTCTCTTAGTGTTTCAGTCTGTTTATTCAGTTTGGTCCCTAATGAACATGACCCAATTACTTATCTCTCCCCCTGCCAGAGCAGCTAACGCTAGCCATTCAGCCAGGACAGCACAGAGTCTAATCCGGGAGCCATTCAGCCAGGACAGCACAGAGCAGCTAACGCTAGCCATTCAGCCAGGACAGCACAGAGTCTAATCCGGGATCCATTCAGCCAGGACAGCACAGAGTCTAATCCGGGAGCCATTCAGCCAGGACAGCACAGAGCAGCTAACGCTAGCCATTCAGCCAGGACAGCACAGAGTCTAATCCGGGAGCCATTCAGCCAGGACAGCACAGAGTCTAATCCGGGAGCCATTCAGCCAGGACAGCACAGAGTCTAATCCGGGAGCCATTCAGCCAGGACAGCACAGAGTCTAATCCGGGAGCCATTCAGCCAGGACAGCACAGAGTCTAATCCGGGAGCCATTCAGCCAGGACAGCACAGAGTCTAATCCGGGAGCCATTCAGCCAGGACAGCACAGAGTCTAATCCGGGAGCCATTCAGCCAGGACAGCACAGAGTCTAATCCGGGAGCCATTCAGCCAGGACAGCACAGAGTCTAATCCGGGAGCCATTCAGCCAGGACACCACAGAGTCTAATCCGGGAGCCATTCATTTACACACAGCATGTAATACGGCTACTACTGTGTCACAACAGGATTTAGACAGCTCCCAACATGGCTAATGGACTCATCAGGAAGATAGGGAACATTCTGTTTTTATGATGGTTTTCGTCTGACCAAGTTTCAGATCCGACATGTGTTTCTAACTTAAAGCTTTTGGTAGAACTTCAGAGAAAGTGTCTGTTTGGGCAGAGCCGATTTGGTCTCTGTAAAAGGAGTAACTGTAACTACACACCGTGTCAATCTTGCAGCAGGGTTTAATGGGGAATCTCTCCCAGGAGACGTTAAGTAGCTGGTTGCTGGTAGTCTCGTCATGTCCTCAGCTGTTCTCTGGACTTTGACAGGTTTATTTCTGTGTTGGACTCCTCAGAAGGAGTGGAGGGAGACAGAGACCGAGTGGTGGAGGGGTTAGTGTGAGATCGAGGAGCCATTTGTTTAGGGCTGAAGGATGGATGGAGAGATTGATGTCTTGGGGTGGTGGAGGGGAGGAGGCAATTGGAGGGGTTAGTGTGGGATGTTTAGGGCTGAAGGATGGATGGATGGCGGGATGGATGGATGGAGGGATGGATGGATGGATGGATGGATGGATGGATGGATGGATGGATGGAGGGAGGGAGGGATGGATGGCGGGATGGATGAATGGAGGGATGGATGGATGGATGGATGGATGGATGGATGGATGGATGGATGGCGGGATGGATGGATGGATGGATGGATGGATGGATGGCGGGATGGATGGATGGAGGGAGGGAGGGATGGATGCCTTGGGGATGAGGGGTAGGGGATAAGAATCTCCCTCTGGGGACAGCCTCAGTCAGGGTCTGAGTGGGGGACCTCCCTGGAGGTTACAGCGGATGAGGGGACAAGTTCATCACTTAATACAATCTCTCTTTCTCTCCCCTCTCCCTCCCTCTCTCCCTCCCTCTCTCTCCCTCCCTCCCTATCTCTCCCTCCCTACCTCTCTCTCTCCAGACCAAAGCTATAAACAGGAAGCAGCCCCTGCTCTACCAGATGGAGAGCTATGAGCAGCCAGCACGCAGGCCACTGCGGCCCAACGAGACTGAGGACGTGGCTGTCAAGGTCAGGGGTCAAAGTTCAACACCTCAACAAGCTCATTGGCCCTTCTTCTCAGGACCTGTGACACACACAGCACCGTACACACTCGCTGACTGCATGCACGGACACAGCAACAGACACATAAAGTGGGGGAAAAAAGTATTTAGTCAGCCACCAATTGTGCAAGTTCTCCCACTTAAAAAGATGAGAGAGGCCTGTAATTTTCATCATAGGTACACGTCAACTATGACAGACAAAATGAGGAAATAAAATCCAGAAAATCACATTGTAGGATTTTTTATGAATTTATTTGCAAATTATGGTGGAAAATAAGTATTTGGTCAATAACAAAAGTTTCTCAATACTTTGTTATATACCCTTTGTTGGCAATGACACAGGTCAAACGTTTTCTGTAAGTCTTCACAAGGTTTTCACACACTGTTGCTGGTATTTTGGCCCATTCCTCCATGCAGATCTCCTCTAGAGCAGTGATGTTTTGGGGCTGTCGCTGGGCAACACGGACTTTCAACTCCCTCCAAAGATTTTCTATGGGGTTGAGATCTGGAGACTGGCTAGGCCACTCCAGGACCTTGAAATGCTTCTTACGAAGCCACTCCATCGTTGCCCGGGCGGTGTGTTTGGGATCATTGTCATGCTGAAAGACCCAGTCACGTTTCATCTTCAATGCCCTTGCTGATGGAAGGAGGTTTTCACTCAAAATCTCACGATACATGGCCCCATTCATTCTTTCCTTTACACGGATCAGTCGTCCTGGTCCCTTTGCAGAAAAACAGCCCCAAAGCATGATGTTTCCACCCCCATGCTTCACAGTAGGTATGGTGTTCTTTGGATGCAACTCAGCATTCTTTGTCCTCCAAACACGACGAGTTGAGTTTTTACCAAAAAGTTCTATTTTGGTTTCATCTGACCATAAGACATTCTCCCAATCCTCTTCTGGATCATCCAAATGCACTCTAGCAAACTTCAGACGGGCCTGGACATGTACTGGCTTAAGCAGGGGGACTCATCTTTCACTGCAGGATTTGAGTCCCTGGCGGCGTAGTGTGTTACTGATGGTAGGCTTTGTTACTTTGGTCCCAGCTCTCTGCAGGTCATTCACTAGGTCCCCCCGTGTGGTTCTGGGATTTTTGCTCACCGTTCTTGTGATCATTTTGACCCCACGGGGTGAGATCTTGCGTGGAGCCCCAGATCGAGGGAGATTATCAGTGGTCTTGTATGTCTTCCATTTCCTAATAATTGCTCCCACAGTTGATTTCTTCAAACCAAGCTGCTTACCTATTGCAGATTCAGTCTTCCCAACCGAGCAGCAGCACGTGGTCCTCTGTAGCTCAGCTGGTAGAGCACGGCGCTTGTAACGCCAAGGTAGTGGGTTCGATCCCCGGGACCACCCATACACAAAAAATGTATGCACGCATGACTGTAAGTCGCTTTGGATAAAAGCGTCTGCTAAATGGCATATTATTATATTATTACAATTTTGTTTCTGGTGTCCTTTGACAGCTCTTTGGTCTTGGCCATAGTGGAGTTTGGAGTGTGACTGTTTGAGGTTGTGGACAGGTGTCTTTTATACTGATAACAAGTTCAAACAGGTGCCATTAATACAGGTAACGAGTTGAGGACAGAGGAGCCTCTTAAATAATAAGTTACAGGTCTGTGAGAGCCAGAAATCTTGCTTGTTTGTAGGTGACCAAATACTTATTTTCCACCATAATTTGCAAATAAATTCATTAAAAATCCTACAATGTGATTTTCTGGATTTTCTTTTCTCAATTTGTCTGTCATAGTTGACGTGTACCTATGATGCAAATTACAGGCCTCTCTCATCTTCTAAGTGGGAGAACTTGCACAATTGGTGGCTGACTAAATACTTTTTTCCCCCACTGTAGGCTATCAACTCACAGACAAGCTTTAGCTCACGTACATGTGCAGCCACATGCATGCATGTGGACACATACACAAGCAGAGGCTTCTGAGCTATAGTCTGACAGTTGTCATCAAACCGTACTGTATGTAACCTTTAAACTGGCCTTTTTGTCACATCCGCCCGGTCATTCACTCTAGTAAGACACCACAGATGTTACCACTGTCTATCTCTCACAGCAGATGTTTCATCTCTTGGCCTGTCCATTGTGTGAAACGAACCCTGAGGAGAAGTCAACATTTAAACCGACAGTTTAAACTCTCAGGAACCACGTCATGAGTCAGAGGCAGGGGATTCTCATGAGAACGGAGAACCCAGTGCACTGTGTCATCATGTTCTCAGCCCCTGTTCTAGTCTCATTGGGGTCCACATCCTGTTGCTATCCCTGTGGACCCACAGCATTATTGTAGGCAGTCTGTTAATGAGCTTGGGGGCGGCAGGAGGGTCCGAGGGTCGAAAGAATGGGCTGCTGCTGTGTGTGTGAACCAGACAAATCCTCTTTCTCTGCCTCCTCTCCCATCTCACCCTCTTTCTCTCTCTACCTCTCTACCTTCCTCTCTGTCTCCCATCACCCCTTCTCTCTACCTCTCTACCTTCCTCTCTGTCTCCCATCACCCCTTCTCTCTACCTCTCTACCTTCCTCTCTGTCTCCCATCACCCCTTCTCTCTACCTCTCTACCTTCCTCTCTGTCTCCCATCACCCCTTCTCTCTACCTCTCTACCTTCCTCTCTGTCTCCCATCACCCCTTCTCTCTACCTCTCTACCTTCCTCTCTGTCTCCCCTCACCCCTTCTCTCTACCTCTCTACCTTCCCTCTGTCTCCCTCACCCCTTCTCTCTACCCTCTCTACCTTCCTCTCTGTCTCCCATCACCCCTTCTCTCTACCTCTCTACCTTCTCTCTTCTCCTATCACACCCCTTCTCTGTCTCCTCTCTACCGTCCGTCTCTTCTCCCTCACCACCCCTTCTCTCTACCTCTCTACCTTCCTCTCTGCTTCTCTTCCATCTTATCCCTCCATCTCTGCCTCCCATCTCACCCCTATCTTCCTCTACTCCCTCTCTACCTCTCTCTACCCCTATCCCTGCATCCCTATCAGACCGTCCCCCATCCCCTGCGGGTCCCACCCCCCGATCCCATGCTCCCTTTCAATCTCCCCCTCCCCCTCCCTCTGGCCCCACCCCCTATCCCTGCCTCCCTTTCAAGACCTCCCCCCATCCCCTCTGGTTCCCACCCCTATCCCTGCCTCCTATCAATCCAAGACTCCCCCATCCCCTCTGGTTCCCACCCCCTATCCCTGCCTCCCTATCAAGACTCCCCCATCCCCTCTGGTCCCCACCCCCTATCCCTGCCTCCCTATCAAGACTCCCCCATCCCCTCTGGTCCCCACCCCCGTAACATCCGCTCTGTCTATTTACAAACTTAATTAACAAGTATCTTTTCTCAGCGGTAATAAGACGTCTGTCTTTCATGTTTAACTTGTATTTATTAGTTCTGTGTCACTGAATCGCAGATCTTGTGTGATGCGTGTGGTTTTGCTGTAGGGGATGGAAGGGAGGGGGGATTACTGGCTATAATAAACAGTAGAATCGTACAAGACATAAAACACAACATAACTATGTAAACATGCTATTATATTTCTATGTAAACACACATATCTAAACCACCAGCTGCAGACTATAAAATGGTACTCCCGAGTGGCGCAGTGGTCTAAGGCACTGCATCGCAGTGCTAGCTGTGCCACTAGAGATCCTGGTTCGAATCCAGGCTCTGTCGTAGCCGGCCGCGACCGGGAGACCCATGGGGCGGCGCACAATTGGCCCAGCGTCGTCCAGGGTAGGGGAGGGAATGGCCGGCAGGGATGTAGCTCAGTTGGTAGAGCATGGCATGTGCAACGCCAGGGTTGTGGGTTTGATTCCCACAGGGGGCCAGTATGAAAAAAAAATAATAATAATGTATGCACTCACTAACTGTAAGTCGCTCTGGATAAGAGCGTCTGCTAAATGACTAAAATGTAATGTAAAATGTAGGCTCCATGTCTAATGTTTTTCTGTCAGCCTACTAATCCCACTATATCCTGTTCAGGTGAACAGTGGATTCTTCACGTGGGGAAGCAACTTGTCAACGTTGTCCGACATCAACATCTGCATCCCAACAGGTAACCTGATCCTGCTGGGAACACTATGGCAACGCCAGGCTGCATCTGTTTAGGAGGTCATCGACAGTCAATGTAGTATATCTAACACCAGCTGTGTGTGCGTTTGGGTAACAGTGTAGTATATCTCCCTGCTATGACCTCAGGGCCAGTGGTCCGTCAGATATGACATCTTGTCTGCTAAGACAAACAGGATAGGCTGGTCCTGGTAGACCACTATTTGCTGCAGCTGAGGGAGTAGAAGTGTTATGTAGGATATGTGGAACAGTGGAGGCTGGTGGGAGGAGCTATAGGAGGACGGGCTCGTTGTAATTGCTGGAATGGAATAAATGGAACAGTATCGAACACATCAACCGTATAGAAACCACATGTTTGACTCCATTCCATTTATTCCATTCTAGCCATTATAATGAGCCTGTCCTCCTATAGCTCATCCCACCAGCCTCCACTGATGTGAAAACATGACTGCTCGAAATTGAGTGTGTAAAGATATCCCGATATCCTATCCTACTTTTAAGCTTTACCCAGGGCTGTAACAGACATAATCAATGTAAGATTGACAGAGAACAATCTGTTCTCTCTAATGCTTTATATAGTGTCTTCTTACCAGACAGTATGTCCTGTGTCTGATATTTCCAGGTCAGCTGACCATGATCGTGGGCCAGGTGGGTTGTGGGAAGTCGTCGCTGTTGCTGGCCATGCTGGGAGAGATGCAGACCCTCAGTGGAAAGGTCTACTGGAGCAAGTGAGTGGTACCAATCACCATAAGCTACATGTTAGAAGTGCTATAATAGGCGTAAATCTCTGAGGTACTCATCTCTATTAGGTACTGAACATGCTGAGGTCCACTCAAAGACAGAGATGGACACACATCTCATTTCCTTTTGATCCGTCTCAGTCTCGTTTTGGGATAGTTGTGTCTTTCTAGAGTTGACAAGCTGTCAGACAGTGTTTCACTGTGCTTCACCACCAATGCTAATCAAAGCCTTCATCTGTGGAATAAGAAGCCATTCAACCCTCATCTTGTTGGTATTGTCCTTCCTGTGTCCTGGTTGTGTCTGTATCTGTCGCTGTGGCTGTTATGGAAGGAGAGCTGGCTGCTCCTCTGTCTCTCTGTACATCGCTCACCGTCTGCTTGCTGGTGTCAGCTTCGCCTGAACTTTGACTGTTTAATATCATCTCTCTACTCATCTCTCTATAACACAATCTCACCGTCACTTTTAAAACGGGACTTTTCCATTTTCAACTCTCTGTCTTCTTATAGCTCTGTTATTCATATTTTCACTACAAACCAGAACGTCTATGTCCATCTCCTAGGACCAAATCTTCATTTGAGATCTGCACTCATATTCATGTACGCTAATGTCAAATTAGGATTGGGTCGTCAGTGATGTTCTGGAGATGGAGCTCTGATTAGCATTCTTAGCATTAGCATTTAGATTGAAACCTGAGCAGAAGAACAGACACATGCTAATTGCTAACGAACTGGGCGTTGCAGCATTTTCTTGCCAACAACAAATTGGTTAGGAGTTAGCGTGATTACTTGTCCAATAAGTTTTCAATTGTATAATTTAATTTGATTCGGTTAAGTATTTGTTTGGGTTATTGAATGAATAATACACTTCCGACTGGAAGGTTTTCATTTTGAGCTAGATTGAATGAAAACAGTCAAATTAGTCTGTTGTAGTTTTAGTAACTGTTGATTTCATTGTTCTCCATTAAGTCACAGCCTGTTAATACGCTGTAATATGACCTATCAAGCTATTAAACACTTCTCTCCCTTCATACGCTGCTATGAAAGAGGGTCCATATAGTTCTTGAAAGTTCTCTATAATACTGATGGTGTACCACAATTACCATTATAACCACTATGTCTCCTCAATCTGTTTATAACGATAACGGCTGATCTTCTGGGGGATCTTAGCAGTAGCAGTAATCCAAAATGAAATTGACCTGCCACATCAAGTCCACTCTTATGTGAGCGAACGAAGGTGCCAGTCAGTACCATAGCAGAACAGGTAGTAATCACGGGCCGTAAACACTAACCTCAGCCTTGTCTGTGTTCTGTCTTCTGTCGTTGTCGTTGTTTTCTATCTAAATCAGACTGCCTGTGAGTGAGATGCTGCACGAGGCCAACAGGTATTTTCTCCCTCTGGGGTTTACTCTTCCCATCTCACCCCTGTACAGTACATTCTACATTTAGGTCTCAACACTTAAGTCATTTGGCTATTAGTTGACTAGTTGAATCATTTAGGTCTCAACACTTAAGTCATTTGGCTATTAGTTGAATTGTTGAATCATTTAGGTCTCAACACTTAAGTCATTTGGCTATTAGTTGACTAGTTGTCATTTGGCTATTAGTTGACTAGTTGTCATTTGGCTATTAGTTGACTAGTTGCATCATTTAGGTCTCAACACTTAAGTCATTTGGCTATTAGTTGACTAGTTGAATCATTTAGGTCTCAACACTTAAGTCATTTGGCTATTAGTTGAATTGTTGAATCATTTAGGTCTCAACACTTAAGTCATTTGGCTATTAGTTGACTAGTTGTCATTTGGCTATTAGTTGACTAGTTGTCATTTGGCTATTAGTTGACTAGTTGAATCATTTAGGTCGCAACACTTAAGTCATTTGGCTATTAGTTGAATTGTTGAATCATTTAGGTCTCAACACTTAAGTCATTTGGCTATTAGTTGACTAGTTGAATACATTTTACTCTCAACACAAGCCATTTGGCTATTAGTTGAATTGTTGAATCATTTAGGTCTCAACACTTAAGTCATTTGGCTATTAGTTGACTAGTTGAATCATTTAGGCGTGCTACTTTTGAATAAACACCAAATATGTGAAAGGACTGGTGGGCCCCAAGGACTGGGTTGAGAACGGTTGATTTAGCAGACGCTGTTCTACCGACTGACTCCCACCCTCATGTAGACCTACATCATTCTAGGAGAAGCCATAACACTATTAGAGCAGACAGTGCCCTGGGCCTGAGACAATGACAGTATCATGACAGTATGCCTGCACTGTTGAGGGAGGTAATGCTGTAGATAAAGCTGGCTAATTCAATTGACTCTTGGCTCTTTGTCTAAATGTCTTAGCCCCGATACACAGTTTTAGGGCTGCCCTACAAAACAGGGCTTAACTGTAAGCACACTTCTGCTAGATTGACATTTGAACACACATATGCGACTATACACACACACACACACACACACGCGCGCGTGCGGTTCAGCTTTTCATGTGTAAAGGAAGTTGAAGTCGAGGTGGTTGTGTCTATCTGGCTCTATGGACTCTAACACATTGAACGTGACTTGCAGTTGTTTTGAGACGGACCTGTCTTTTGAAGAAACCAGGAGGTACCCCTTTTTAAACTTCCTCTGAAGGGACCCTGCCGTCACCCCCTTCCTCCCTTCCCCTGCCATCATTCCTTTTATCCCTCCCTCAATCCCTCCATCACTACATCCCTCCATCACGGTGATCATTGAGTTGTTACTAGCTGGTCGTGGAGTGAGTCGTGGAATGTTTGTGTGCTTCCATGCTGGGGGTCTGGGTCTGAAGTAACTGACAGAAAATGCTGTTTTTAGTCAGAAAACGACTGAAAAGGCAGTTATAGAGATTTGGATATATTTTGATACTGTGGATTCACCAGCACGGTATGTTTTCAACAGGAGACGATAGGAATACTATACACAAAGAGACCAACATACTCTCTTTTGCAGTTGTGTTGTTTCCAGGTCGGTGTGCATGACCCACAGCTAACGTCTTCACTCTTAAAGGAGCAATCTCTTTCTCTTATATAATACAATTACTCAACCATTAATAACCAGCAAAGGCTAACGTATGGTGGTGGGAACACTGGTACACAATAGTACACAAAGCACTGTGCCTTCAGACACGTAATGCTCTTATCCTCAAGCCTATCCTTTGGGTCTTTGGGTAGTTCAACTGCACATCCAAACAAGATCAACAAACTGGACTCCCAGCACATTGTTGTTATTTTGGCTCAACTCTTCCAGCTCATCATTAACCTGTGTTTGAAACCTAAACCCACTTCCCCACTCACCGCTTGATGTGCCTCATTGTTGACGTCCCAAAGATTACCCCCTCCCCTACCTCCATGTTTGTAGTTTGAGCTCTCTCTCTTCTGCCTCCATTTCCCATAATGCCTCAGTAAGAACAGGTACTCTGTGGGCTACGCTACCCAGAAGTCCTGGCTGCTGAATGCCACTGTGGAGGATAACATCACGTTTGGCAGTCCCTTCAACAAACAGAGGTAAAACACCACTCTCTACTCTACTCTACCCTACTCTACTTTACTCTACTTTACCCTACTCTACTCTACCCTACTCTACCCTACTCAACTCTACCCTACTCTACTCTACCTTACCCTACCCTACTCTACCCTACTCAACTCTACCCTACTCAACTCTACCTTACTCTACTCTACCCTACTCTACTCTACTCTGCTGTATTCTACTCTGCTGTATTCTACTCTACTCTACTCTACTCTACTCTACTATATTCTACTATATTCTACTCTACTCTACTCTACTCTACTCTACTCTACCCTACTCTGCTCTACCTTACCCTACTCTACCCTACTCAACTCTACCCTACTCAACTCTACCTTACTCTACTCTACTCTACTCTACTCTACTCTACTCTACTCTACTCTACTCTACTCTACTGTATTCTACTCTACCCTACTCTACTCTACTCTACTTCTACTCTACTCTACCTACTCTACTCTACTCTACCCTACTCTACTCTACTCTACTCTACCCTACTCTACTCTACTCTACTCTACTCTACCTACTGTATTCTACTCTACCCTACTCTACTCTACTCTACTCTACTCTACTCTATTCTACTCTACCCTACCCTACCCTACCCTACTCTACTCTACTCTACCCTACTCTACTCTACTCTACTCTACTCTACCGTATTCTACTCTACTCTACTCTACTCTACTATACTCTATTATACTCTACTCTACTCTACTCTACTATACTCTACTGTATTCTATTCTACTCTACCCTACCCTACTCTACTCTACTCTACTCTACTCTACTATATTCTACTATATTCTACTCTACTCTACTCTACTCTACTCTACTCTACTCTACTCTACTCTACTCTACTCTACTGTATTATATTCTACTCTACTCTACCCTACTCTACTCTACTCTATTATACTCTACTCTACTCTACTCTACTATACTCTACTGTATTCTATTCTACTCTACTCTACTCTACCCTACCCTACTCTACTCTACTCTACTCTACTATATTCTACTATATTCTACTCTACTCTACTCTACTCTACTCTACTCTACCCTACCCTACTCTACTCTACTCTACCCTACCCTACTCTACTCTACTCTACTCTACTATATTCTACTATATTCTACTCTACTCTACTCTACTCTACTCTACTCTACTCTACTCTACTCTACCCTACTCTACTCTACTCTACTCTACTCTACTCTACTCTACCTGATTCTACTCTACTCTACTCTACTCTACTACCTACCATTTATCTCTACTCAAACTCTACTCTACTCTATTCTACTCTACCCTACTCTACTGTATTTTCTACCCTACACGTACTCTATCTATAATTCTACCCTACCCTACTCTACTTTTCTAACCCCTACTCTACTCTACCCTACCCTACCTACCTACTCTAAACCCTACCTCTATACTCTAACTTCCCTACTCTACTCTCCCTCTAAACCTACCCTACTCCTACTCTACTCTACTCTACTCTATTCTACTCAAACCTACCTACTCTACTGTAATTCTACCCTACCCTACCCTACTCTATAACTCAAATTTAACTCTACTCCTACCTACCTCTCTAACCCTACCCTTTACCCTACCCTACTCTACTCTACCTCTACTCAAACTCTACTCTACTTCTACTCTACTCTACTCTCTACTATATATCTACTTCCTACTCAAACTCTACCTCTACTCAAACTCTACTCTACTCTACCTACCTACTCTACTCTACTCTACTCTACTTATTCTACCCCTACTCTCACTCTACCCTATCTACCTATCCTACTCTACTCTACTCTACTCTACTCTACTGTATTCTACTCTACTACTACTCTATACCCTACCCTATCCTCACTCTACCTACTCTAAACTCTACTCTAACTCAAACCTACTCCTACTCTACTGTATTCCTACCCTACCTACCCTACCCTACCTACTCACTACTCTACTCTACCTATCCTACTCTAACCTACTTACTCTACTCTACCCTACTCCCTACCCTACCTACTCCTAACTCACTCTACCTCTACCTTATCCTACTCTACTCTACTCTACTCTACCTACACTCTACTTGATAAATTCTACTCTACCCTACTCTACTCTACCCTACCCTATCCTACTCTACTCTACTCTACTCTACTCTATTCTACTAACTACCCTATCACTACTAACCCTACCCCTACTCTACTCTACCCTACCCTACTCTACCCTACCCTATCCCTACTCTACCCCCTCTACTACTCTACCCTACCCTACTCTACCCTACCCTACCCTACTCTACTCTACCCTACCTACTCTACCCTACCTCTTACTCTACCCTACTCTACCTACTACCCTACTCTACTCTAACCCTACCCTACCTACTCTACCCTACTCTACCCTACCCTAACCCTACTCCTACCCTAACTCTAACCCTCCCTACCCTACTCTACCCCTACTCGTACTCTACTCTAAAAACCCTACCTACCGCTACCCTACCCTACTCTACCCTACTCTACTCTCTCTACCCTCGCTACTTACCCTACTCTACTCTACCTACCCCTACTCTACTCTACTCTACTCTACCCTACTACTCACTCTACTCTACTCTACCTAGTATACCCTACCTACCCTAACCCTACTCTACCTCTACTCTACCCTACTCTACTCTACCCTACCCTACTCTACCCTACTCTACTCTACCCTACTCTACTCTACTGTTTTCTCTACTGCTCCTCAACACCATTCATCAATGTAATTAAGACTAGACCAATGTTTGTGTTTGGTTAATTCACTTGGTCATGCATCAGCTGAGATGTACTTTTAATTACACTAATTTGATGGTCCATCAGATTGCTATCACTCTTGATGCTTATTGAGGCTGATGCTGGCTTATATCTCTTCTCTGATGAGGACTGTTTGGGTGGGCCATTGAATCCCTTAGTATCGAAGGCAGCCATGTTTCTAACTGTGTCTTGATAGGGGGTGTTGTCTGTCTGTCTGTCTGATGCCCTGCTGTGTGTCTCAGATACAAGACTGTGATTGATGCCTGCTCCCTGCAGCCTGATGTAGACCTCCTGCCGTTCGGAGACCAGACGGAGATCGGAGAGAGGGTACTGAAACACTGGCTAAATTATTACTTTATTATAATCACGTCATTATTACTGTGGTTTTATATCTATTCTTATCTTTTTGGGCACAAGCCCCATCTCTTACCTCAGACACAATGGCATTTTACACCAAGAACTAGTAGTGAACAGTGATTTGGGTCAGATTCCTTGTGTACCTGGCTACTCTTCTTAACGGTGTGTTTTTCTCCCAGGGCATCAACCTGAGTGGAGGCCAGAGACAGAGGATATGTGTGGCCCGAGCTCTCTACCAGAACACCAACATAGTCTTCCTGGTGAGTCAATGAAGGATAAAGTGCTTTATCTGTCGACTTCGATAGAAGATCCATTTCCTATTGAGTTCACTGGAAGAGGCTGGAAGCTCTCCCTCAAGGATGCATTCTCAGAATAGTCAGACAGAGCCAGGGTGTTCTAGGGTGTCTCTAGGTGTTATAGGGTGTTCTCTATGTGTTCTAGGGTGTTCTCTAGGTGTTCTAGGGTATTCTATGGTGTTCTCTAGGTGTTCTAGGGTGTTCTAGAGTGTTCTCTAGGTGTTCTAGGGTATTCTAGGGTGTTCCCTAAGTGTTATAGGGTGTTCTAGAGTGTTCTCTAGGTGTTCTAGGGTATTCTAGGGTGTTCTCTAGGTGTTCTAGGGTGTTCTAAAGTGTTCTCTAGGTGTTCTAGGGTGTTCTAGAGTGTTCTCTAGGTGTTCTAGGGTGTTATCTAGGTGTTTTAGAGTGTTCTCTAGGTGTTCCAGGGAGAGCCAATTAGAGCCAAAGACAGGGACACCTTTTTATATTCCCTAAACAGTACACTGCTTTTGGGACAGTGTGTGTGTAAGGATTGCACAGATGTCGGGAATAGGGTGCGATTTCAGAGGCAGCCAGGGAGAGTCTCTTGTAACCAGACCATACTGCTGACAAGAGTTGTCATGCCGTTTACAGTCACCCCTCTGCTCTGCCATCTGGCCTGGCTAGCCATACACTCACACACACACACACACACACACACACACACACACACACACACACACCACACACACACACACACACACACACACACACACACATGTACACACACACGTACACACACACCACACGTACACACACACGTACACACACACACGTTCCTGTCTCTCGCTGCTACAGACAACTCTATGACATCTACATCCCATTTCCTTCCTACTCCTGTGTGATGTCATCATGTGTTTGTGTTCCCACATCATTTCCTGTGGCAACTGTTAAATACACTGCTCAAAAAAATAAAGGGAACACTTAAACAACACAATGTAACTCCAAGTCAATCACACTTCTGTGAAATCAAACTGTCCACTTAGGAAGCAACACTGATTGACAATACATTTCACATGCTGTTGTGCAAATGGAATAGACAACAGGTGGAAATTATAGGCAATTAGCAAGACACCCCCAATAAAGAAGTGGTTCTGCAGCTGGTGACCACAGACCACTTCTCAGTTCCTATGCTTCCTGGCTGATGTTTTGGTCACTTTTGAATGGTGGCGGTGCTTTCACTCTAGTGGTAACATGAGTCTACAACCCACACAAGTGGCTCAGGTAGTTCAGCTCATCCAGGATGGCACATCAATGCGAGCTGTGGCAAGAAGGTTTGCTGTGTCTGTCAGCGTAGTGTCCAGAGCATGGAGGCGCTACCAGGAGACAGGCCAGTACATCAGGAGACGTGGAGGAGGCCGTAGGAGGGCAACAACCCAGCAGCAGGACCGCTACCTCCGCCTTTGTGCAAGGAGGAGCAGGAGGAGCACTGCCAGAGCCCTGCAAAATGACCTCCAGCAGGCCACAAATGTGCATGTGTCTGCTCAAACGGTAGAAACAGACTCCATGAGGGTGGTATGAGGGCCCGACGTCCACAGGTGGGGGTTGTGCTTACAGCCCAACACCGTGCAGGACGTTTGGCATTTGCCAGAGAACACCAAGATTGGCAAATTCGCCACTGGCGCCCTGTGCTCTTCACAGATGAAAGCAGGTTCACACTGAGCACATGTGACAGACGTGACAGAGTCTGGAGACGCCGTGGAGAACGTTCTGCTGCCTGCAACATCCTCCAGCATGACCGGTTTGGCGGTGGGTCAGTCATGGTGTGGGGTGGCATTTCTTTGGGGGGCTGCACAGCCCATGTCCCAGAGGTAGCCTGACTGCCATTAGGTATGAGATGATCCTCAGACCCCTTGTGAGACCATATGCTGGTGCGGTTGGCCCTGGGTTCCTCCTAATGCAAGACAATGCTAGACCTCATGTGGCTGGAGTGTGTCAGCAGTTCCTGCAAGAGGAAGGCATTGATGCTATGGACTGGCCCGCCCGTTCCCCAGACCTGAATCCAATTGAGCACATCTGGGACATCATGTCTCGCTCCATCCACCAACGCCATGTTGCACCACAGACTGTCCAAGAGTTGGCGGATGCTTTAGTCCAGGTCTGGGAAGAGATCCCTCAGGAGACCATCCGCCACCTCATCAGGAGCATGCCCAGGCGTTGTAGGGAGGTCATACAGGCACGTGGAGGCCACACACACTACTGAGCCTCATTTTGACTTGTTTTAAGGACATTACATCAAAGTTGGATCAGCCTGTAGTGTGGTTTTCCACTTTAATTTTGAGGGTGACTCCAAATCCAGACCTCCATGGGTTGATACATTTGATTTCCATTGATAATTTTTGTGTGATTTTGTTGTCAGCACATTCAACTATGTAAAGAAAAAAGTATTTAATAAGATTATTTCATTCATTCAGATCTAGGATGTGTTGTTTAAGTGTTCCCTTTATTTTTTTGAGCAGTGTAGATTTCTAACCCCCACCCCTGATACAGCATCTCTGGCTGTCATGGGATAGGACCGGGCACGTTTCTCCATTCGTAGCTCAGCTCACACTGAGAAATGTGCCAAATAAGGAAATACCACTCTAAACTGCTGTATTAATACACAGTGGGACTGCAGAGTGAACACCCAGCTAGAAGCAACATCTATTAGCTAAGTGCGCCTTTATGACGTCTTGTCTCCTTCTAATGAGGTGTCTATCATGCTGTGTCTCATGATCTCAGACCTTCTGTCCTCAGGACTGTTTACGTGTCTCAGTGTTGTGCACTATAAAGACTAGTTAAAGCTAGGGTAATGCATTGGTGTTTATTCAGGTTCCGGGGTCCTCTGGGAGCTGGGTTTCATTGACTGAATGTTCTGAAGTGACTTGTGAATTAAACATGCTGTAACTTAATATGAATAAAGGATGATCTCCTGTTAAAAACATAACTTCATCCACGGCTTTCACTCTGATATGCTCTGATCTGATTGGATCGTCTCATGTTGTCTCTGACCCCTGATCTCTGACCTTTACCCTCAGGATGACCCGTTCTCAGCGCTGGACATCCACCTGAGTGACCACCTGATGCAGGAGGGCATCCTGAAGTTCCTACAGGACGATAAACGCACCGTGGTCCTGGTCACACACAAACTGCAGTACCTCATCCACGCTGACTGGGTGAGCATCTCAACAGTCTTGTGTGGATTCCTCTCTTAATGTACTCTCTACCATTTTGCACTGGGCCTGTATTCATAAAGCATCTTAGAGTAGGTAGGAGTGCTGCTGAAATAGGATACGTTTTTCCTTTTAGATAGAGTATATATATATTTTTATATATATTTAAAACATACAATATACTTGCAGTGAAGCCGCTCAACAACTACATCACATTAGTCATCTAACAGACTCCCATCCAGAGCGACGCACGGAAGCATCCAGGGTCAACGCCGTGCTCAAGGGCACGTCGACGGATCTCCCACAATGTCAAAAACGGGGACCCGAACCAGCGATCCATGATCCCCCACACAGTTCCCCAAGAGCTGAGCCCCCCTTACTTTTACTAAGAGTATTTGTATATTAGTAATTGACTGACCCGGTCTCTCCAGATCTCCCAACAGTACTATTTCTAGGGTCAATTTTAGATCAATGTTATGCATTTTCAGCCATTCCTGAACCTGAGACCAGAAACAGGCTACCTGAGGGCAATACCAAAACAAATGGTCTATTGATTCTCTATGATCACAACAAAATCTGCAGAGCTTCGATGATTGAATGCCCCAAATATTCAACATTTTGTTGGTGGCAAGAATTCTATATAATAATTTTAGCTGAAAGCACAAAGTTTTGAATCTTGCGTCCTTTTAGATATCAACTCATACACCCTGTACCATGGAATCGGTACATCAAAAATCTCTTCCCAACTATTTTGCAATCTGTATGGCGCAGCTGTCAACATCCTGGTCCTCAAATGAAACTGCTTTCCTATTTATGCTATGTTTATTCCTCTGCCAGTTTTGATCCTTTATATTGGGCAGACAGACCAGTTCCCTACCTCCTCCCTAATAAAGAGTATTACATGGACGGGGCAGGGGGACCTGATCCTAGATCACCACTCCTGATCCTAGATCACGATCCTAGATCACCACTCCTGATCCTAGATCACCACTCCTGATCCTAGATCACTACTCCTGATCCTAGATCACCACTCCTGATCCTAGATCACCACTCCTGATCCTAGATCACCACTCCTGATCCTAGATCAGCACTCCTACCATGAGTTTTCTTTATAAGGATCCTGATCTTACACTGTTCTTTCTGTGTCCCAGATCATAGCCATGAAGGATGGCTCAGTGCTGAGGGAAGGCACTCTGAAGGACATTCAGACTTATGATGTAGAGCTGTATGAACACTGGAAGACCCTGATGAACAGACAGGACCAGGAACTAGAGAAGGTAATATTCAGTTCTTACTCTCCTACTGACAGATTGTCTGTAACAGAGGAGGCTGGTGGGTGGAGTTATAGGAGGACTTGTAGGAGCTCATTGTAAAGGCTGGAATGGAATTAATGGAACGGAGCCAAACACATGGAAACCACGTGTTTGACCGTTTGCATTTATTCCAGCCATTACAATGAGCCTGTCCTCCTGTAACTCCCACCAGCCTCCTGTGGTCTGTAATGTGTACTGTAGCTAATTTACCTGCCAACCAATCAAACAACCTTTTTTATCTGTGCTGCAGGACACTGAGATTGATAACTGTCAGACTGCTCTAGAGAGGAAGACATTGAGAAGAGCTTTCTACTCCAGAGAGGCGAAGAACCAGGTGGACGATGACGAAGAAGGTGAAACGCATCGTCAACACCGTATCTCATACCAGTTAAGTTTATCACCACATATGACAATAACCCATCCATTCTCTCCTCCCTGACAGAAGAGGAAGAGGAAGAGGAAGATGACGACAACATGTCGACCACCACCAGTCGGCGCTCTAAGATCCCGTGGAGGGTGTGCTGGCAGTACCTGTCCTCCGGTGGCTTCCTCATGGTATTGCTAATGGTCTTCTCTAAGCTGCTGAAACACTCTGTCATGGTCGCCATCGACTACTGGCTGGCCACTTGGACCTCTGATAAGAAACCAGACAGCGTTCCCGCCAATGGGACAGCTAATGGCGATGTCCCGGTCAATGGGACTGCTAATGGCGATGCTAATGGAAATGCCCCAGACTTTGGAAATGTTACAAGAGACTTTGTCAATGCCTGCTGCAGCAGCTGTCTTCTCCAATCTGACAAACTCAACTGGTGGTCTGGAAGCCGCGGTGAGATATGAACACCTTTCACTGCCAGTACTCAGTGTTAGTGGAAGTTACTCTCCTATCACTTGACAATGCCATATGTTTAACCTAACCTATAACTTAGGAGTGAGTAAGGCCTGTTGAAATCCTGTTATCTGACTGAATGTGTCTTTGTGGTTACTAGGCAGGTCAGCCTGATTCCTACTATGTGCCCGTGTTTATCATCCTGTGTGGAGCGGGGATAGCCCTGTGTCTGATCACCTCTCTGACTGTGGAGTTCCTGGGTCTGTCTGCTGCCACCAACCTGCACCATAACCTGCTCAACAAGATCATCCACGCACCTATCAGGTACCCACCACACACCTCACCCATCAGGTACCCACGACACACCTCACCCATCAGGTACCCACAACACACCTCACCCATCAGGTACCCACAACACACCTCACCCATCAGGTACCCACAACACACCTCACCCATCAGGTACCCACAACACACCTCACCCATCAGGTACCCACAACACACCTCACCCATCAGGTACCCACAACACACCTCACCCATCAGATACCCACAACACACCTCACCCATCAGATACCCACACACTCACCTCATCCCACACATCATGTACCCACACCACCTCACCCATCAGTACCACACCAACAACACACCTCACCCATCAGGTACCCCAACAACCTCACCCTCATACCCACAACCCTCACCCATCAGTACCCACAACACCCACCTCATCCACACACCCTCACCCTCAGGTACCCACAACACTCACCTCACCCATCAGGTACCCACACACCACCTCACCCATCAGGTACCCACAACCCACCTCACCCTCACCCACAGACCCACACCCACCTCAACCCAACCCTCACCCATCAGGTACCCACAACACACCTCACCCATCAGGTACCCACAACACACCTCACCCATCAGGTACCCACAACACACCTCACCCATCAGATACCCACCACACACCTCACCCATCAGGTACCCACAACACACCTCACCCATCAGGTACCCACAACACACCTCACCCATCAGGTACCCACAACACACCTCACCCATCAGGTACCCACAACACACCTCACCCATCAGGTACCCACAACACACCTCACCCACAGACTCTTATACTCTGTATGACATCATCCATGGTGAAATAGAAGGGAAGTGAATATAGTTGAACCGGAAAGAATGTGTTGAATAATGTATGAATTATAAGATATTTCACATTTTATATATTTTATATATTTTTCATATTAATATTTGAAATAATATACATTTTTAATCTCTTTTCAGATTCTTTGACGTGACCCCCTTGGGCCAGATCCTGAACCGTTTCTCAGCTGACACCAACATCATAGATCAGGTGATTCTGAAATGGATGGACACCCTCAGTAGTTTGATCTGTTAACTTATTTTAGTCAGGAGTAGTGGAGCGGCAGGTACCCTAGTGGTTAAGAGCGTTGGGACAGTAACCAAATGGTCGCTGGTTCAAATCCTGAGCTGACTGGTGAAAAATCTGTCGATGTGCCCATGAGCAAGGCACTAAACTGTAATTTCTCCTGTAAGTCACTCTGGATAAGAGCATCTGCAAAATGACTAAAATGTTAATGTTAAATGAGTACTGTGGGAATCCTCTACTCATGAAGCTGTCTGATGAAGGATCTGTCTTTGGCCATGGTGTGATTGGACAGACTCCAGTGCTGCTCTCCAGCTGGGCTTGCCCTGAGTGGCCTTAAGATTACAGCTCACACAAATATTAAGAGTTTGTCAGTCATTTGCAGGCGTCAGAACTAGTCCATTGTTAAGATGAGTCCACGTCCCACGTCATTATCTTACGTCACTCAGGTGACCTGAGATCGTTAAAGAGGACGAGGTCCAGAGCGTAGGTCAGAAATGTAGCACTGACATGATACTATCTCTTCCCTCTCTCTATTCCCCCCCCCTCTCTCTCTCTCTGTCACCCCCCCTTCTCTCTGTGTGTCTCTCTCTCTCTCCCCCTCTCTATGTCACCCCCCCTTCTCTCTGTGTGTCTCTCTCTCTCTCTGTATCCCCCCTTCTCTCTGTCAACCCCCCCCTCTTTCTGTGTGTCTCTCTCTCTCTCTCCCCCCCTCTCTCTGTCACCCCCCTTCTCTCTGTGTGTCTCTCTCTCTCTCTCTCTATCCCCCCTCTCTCCAGCACATCCCTCCTACCCTGGAGTCTTTGACCCGCTCCACTCTGCTCTGCCTGTCTGCCATCGGGGTCATAGCGTTCGTCACCCCAGGCTTCCTCATCGCTCTAGTTCCTCTGGCTGTGTCCTTCTACTTTATACAGAAGTACTTCCGGGTCGCCTCAAAGTGAGTTCACTGTGCAGACCTGGTTCATTTCAGCGTAATGTAGTTTCCTTTACAGTAACAGTGTCTTCACATTGTTCTGTACAGCCTTTTCTTAATTTCCTCTCTTTCAGGGACCTTCAGGACTTAGATGACTCCACCCAGCTTCCTCTGCTCTGCCACTTCTCTGAGACCGCAGAGGGACTCACCACCATCCGAGCATTCAGGTCAGTGTGCCATACGCACACACACACACACACACATGCACACGCACACGTGACAGAGTGGAAATTCTGCCCAGAGCATCGTCACACAACATACTCAAGAAGCACTTCTAGGTTTTAGGAAGGCAGTAATGCTGTACTTAGCCATCCGCATCTCAACAAAGTGGTGGATTTACTGACACTGAACGTTAATGCCTTTGCTTATATCTAATATTAGTGTGAATTAAACAACTTGAATCCCATCTAGAACTCTTCCAACCCAGTCATAACCATTCATTTATAGAGGAAGGAGGATATCACAAACCCAGGAGCATCTTTCTCTTGATCCAGAATTACATTAATTCCACTCTAAACAGTTCACGAACGTTCCTCCTTTTTCCCAGAATCATGGTAATCCAACATTAAACAGCTCCCACGCTTACTACCCCTCAAACAGCCTCTTCCTCCCTGAAGACTTCCTCATCTTGTCAGCACCGTGGGTTCTCTCTCTCTCTCTCTCTCTCTCTCTCTCTCTCTGCTCTCTCTCTCTCTCTCTCTCTCTCCTCTCTCTCTCTTCTCTCTCTCTATCTCTCTCTCTCTCTCTTATATCTCTCCTCTCTCTCCTTTGCTATTCATCCATTTCGGTCTCAGATTCTCATCTCTCTGTCTCTCCTATACCCAGTTGGTTTGTCAGGAGAGGGCCCGATGAACCATGAGGTAACTCGGACCGGCTGACCTGAAGATGTGGCTAACAAGTCTCTATGTGATGACTAGGATGGCTTAGCATGTTCTCTTATGTACTAAGTAATTCTCTTTCTCACCTCTCTAAGATCTGAATTGCAAAGCTAACACGTCTATGGCACCTACTCCTGGGTCAAATGTAATTTCAATGGGAAGAATTGGTAGGTATAAGCTAAATTATTTTCCATTATTCAGGCATGAATCCCAGTCAAAACAGAGGATGCTGAGTTGAGACCCATATGCTTCTAACCGAGTGGTTCTGTGAACTCAACCGCGGGGAGGTCAACGTGAGAGATATATTCACGGGTTCTGATTGATATAGAGGACGTAGATGGGCCCTTAGCAAAAGGTTTTTTGGAATGGGCTATAAAATAAGTTCTTTCCACTTGCTTAAGATCTGAAGACTTGCAAGCTAACACAGTCTAGTGGCACCTAGAAGACCCTGGGTTCAAACCTGGTCACATTTTCAGATGGGAAAAAATTGGGTAGGATAAGCTTTATTTTTTTTTCCATTTGTTTTCAGACTGAATCCGATCAACAGAGGATTTTTTGGGGCGACAGAAAAACAAAAACAAAAGCCTACCTGTTCCTCTCTGCTGCCAACCGCTGGCTGGAGGTCAGAACGGTGAGAGGATATTCATGTCTACGGTTTTTTAACCTGACATTTTTAATAAGATATTTGAATCCCCCCTTCCTCCCCCCCCCCCCCCCCCCCCTTTTTTTTTTTTTTTTCCCCCCCCCCCCCCCCCTTTTTCCCCCCCCCCCCTTTTTTTTTTTTTTTCCCCCCCCCCCTTTTTTTTTTTTTTCCCCCCCCCCCCCCCCCCCTTTTTTTTTTTTCCCCCCCCCCCCCCGGGCCTTTCCCCCTTTTTCCCCCTTTCCCCCCCCCCTTTTTTTTTTTTTTCCTTTTTTTCCCCCCTTTGTTCCCCCCCCTTTTCCCCTTCCCCTTTTTGGGGGGCCCCCCCCCCCCCCCCCCCAAAAAAAGGGGGGGGGCCCCCCCAAAATTTTTTTTTAACTTTTTTTTGGGGGAAATTTAAAAAAATTAAAAATTTAAAATTTTTCCCAATTTTTTTTAAAAAAAGGGGGGTTTTAAAATTTTAAAAAAAAAAAAAAAATTTTTTTTTTTAAAAAGGGGGAAAAATTAAAACCTTTTTCCCCGGGGGGTTTTAAACCCCCAAGGGTTTTTTTTGGGTGGGAAAATTTATTTTTTAAAAACCCCAAAAAGGAAAAAAAAAAGGGGGGGGGAAAAGAAAAAAAAAAAATTTTTGGGGGGGGGGAAGGGGGGGGGAAGGGGGGGGCAAGGGAAAAAAGGGGGGGGGAAAAAAAAAGGGGGAAAAAAAAAAGGGAAAAAAAAAAAAAAACCCCCCTTTTTTCCCCCCTTTTTTTTTTCCCTTTTTTCCTTTTTTTCCCTTTTCCCTTTTTTTTTTTCCCCTTTTTTCCCCCCCCTCCCCCCCCTTTTTTTCCTTTTTCCCTCCCCCCCCTCTCTTCTCTCTCCTCTCTTCTCCTCTCCTCTCCCTCTCCCTCCTCCCCTCAGGACTACCTGGGTGCTGTTATTGTGCTAACAGCGGCAGTAGCCTCCATATGGAGCTCTGGCAACAAACTTCCCTCTAGCTTGGTAGGGCTAGGCCTGACCTACGCCCTTACAGTGAGTCAACGTTTCCCCAATGTCACACAAACATGAATGGACCCACAGCGCAGAAACAACGTAGAGGATCAACTTCATCAGATGATAATCTTTTTTATAACAGGCCCTTATTCACCTGGATCTGAATGTAGTTGTATTGCCCATTCAGACGTTTACAAGATATCAAGGCAGCAAGTATTTAGACGTCGTATTCAGTAGACCATTTATGGAACTATACAGAGAAGGACTGCATCAGTCAAATTAATGAGAGGAGTATTGTTGCCAGTCCTTTGTAGAGAAGGGATATTTTTTATAGCTGGGTTGTATTCCCCTCCCACTGCCAGAAGATGTGAGACAATGGAAGCTGTATTGTCCTCAGCATTCATCTTTGTTTTTACTGTAACAAAAACCCACAGTATTTATTTCGGTAGGCTTATCACTCCTCAGAGAGCAAAGCCCATCCACGACTCTTCTCCATCGCACTCTCTTCTGACTGATCAGCCTTTTATGTATTTTTCTCAATTATTAAATACCTTTTGTTTACCTCATATTGTCCAAGGCTATGAGTAAAAAAGAATCCCCCTCAGACATTTAAGAAGAATAATAATAATAATAATAATAATAATAATTATTATATTAGTATTAATAATATATTATTATTATTAATAACAATACAATTGATATTATTATTATTATTATTATTATTATTATTATTATTATTATGTCTATACCTAGTAATGACACTTAATAGAACATGGATGAAATATATATTGTGTTTACCTCCCGTTACCCAGGTGACCAACTACCTGAACTGGGTGGTGAGGAACCTGGCTGACTTAGAGGTCCAGATGGCTGCTGTCAAGAAGGTCAACAGCTTCCTGAGTACAGAGTCTGAGAACTACGAAGGCTCCATGGGTAAACTAAACACACTCCCACACCAAATACTGCTTACCAATACCCTGTATTCTCTTGTGACAGAAGCTGGACAGTGCACACGCAAGATTTGGTTTTGAGTTCGAAATAGACCGCACTCAATAGAACTGGGTAATGGAATCCTGCTGAAATACACAGTTCCAAATATGATCATAATCTCTGCTCAAATATTGTATCTGCTCACGCTATTTGAATAGTCCCTCACAAAATGAAATCCATAGATGTTCAACTAAGCACTCTCCCATGACAGACTCTAGCGGGCCGGTGTGCATGCAAAATCTGGTTCTGTGTTCCGAGATTACGTAAACACTGACTGAAGCTTCCATTTATCAAGTGTCAACTCCAACATGTAAAAACATTTCTAACAGTGAGGATGGCTTAACATAGTATAGGCTTCTACACATCTCTAAGGGACTATATTTAGAAATCCATGGCAACAGAACAGCCAACCGCACAGGGCAACAGTCTGACAGTATGGTAATTCTTTAGATTTACAGTGTGGGGCAGAACGACCTGACACAGACAGTGTTTCTCCTCCCGAATTCCAACTTCATTTCTCTAGTGTGTCTATGTGGAGTTTACAATAGTCCCGTTACGAGTCTTCTTCCAAAGCAGCATGGAAAGTTTAAGTGATGTGCTGTTGCCATGGGGATGTTAAAAAAGAAGAGAAGGGGTCACGTCTCTTGGGGGAAGGAAGATAATGGGGCTAGAACTAAGGGGGGAGGAGGAGGAAGAGAGTTCTCGAGGAACAACGAGGAGGTGAGATTGAGGAGAGGAGAAGAGGAGATGTCTTGAATGCAAAGAGAGGGAGGTGAGGAGAAGGAGGAGAGTAGGAGAGAGCTTCTTGAGAGGGAGGAGAGGGAGGAGAGAGTCCCTCATCTCTAGAGCCGTGGCCCTGCTAGATTCCTGTGGTTAAAGAACCCCTGCCAGAGTGGGCTGTCCTCCTCCACCGTGACGCAATGGAAAGTTTGGCCCTGTTAGCAATACAACGATAATGAGTGGAGCTTGTACAAGCAACGAGCCGTCATCTTGCTGAGTTTTATCATCTTTCCCTTTGATTGATTTAGTCCTTTTGTTTCCTCTCCGTTCGTTGGAAGCCCTTAAGTCATGAGGAGAAAACCACCAACCCTTATTTTAAGGACTGCATGCATGGTTTTAGCAGTTAAACACAGAGTACTGTTGAAGTAGCCAAATGCTGCAGTCTAAACAGACCAGAGCCTGGTCACAGTAGGAAGAGTGGTCCTGAGCAGCACTTAGGGCACCCCTTTTGACAAAGAGACCACTGTTTACTGCATCGTCAGTTGTGTGACTGTCCCCAAATTCACTACTATATGACTGTCCTGGATGTCCTGTTCATGTCAAGGAAAAACTCCTAGCCCTAGTTATTGTGTATGATCACAGTATATAATTACACATCTCATTCATGTTTTGTTAATGGATTCTTTCCAGATACCTCCCAGGTCCCCGAGGACTGGCCCCAGCACGGAGAGATAAAGATCCAGGATCTGTGTGTCCGTTACGACCCCCTTTTGAAGCCTGTCCTCAAACACGTTAATGTCAACATCAACCCCGGACAGAAGGTAAGTAACAGACCTGTGACTTAACGCAACTGTGAGATGGCACATTGTTGCTGTAGCTTCAATAAAGATCACATTTAGGGAGCTAAGCAACCCCGGACAGATGGTAAGTCACACCCACTCACAGAGCCATACCATTCCTGACTATATAGCTGAATAAAGATCACATTTGAAAGCAGTGAAAGCAGCAAGCGGACGTTTACTTTCTGTTGGAATCACGGCCCTGTGCCTAAACGCAACTGTGAGTTGACACGTAGTGAAGAAACGTACTAGTTCGTCGCGGCATGCGTCTTACAGCTTTCGGCACACACATGTCCGTTCTCTCAGGGCAGTGTTACCGAACCTCAGCAAACACCTGCTATCTGACCAGACTGATGAGGCTGCTTCACTTCTGCTGTGAGGAGCCTGAATGCAGATACACAGGTAGAGAGAGATATCCAGTCCAGAGCAGAGAATCAGAGCTATAGAGCTACAAGAACTCCTAAGACCGTGTTCTTCAGTCCTGGTCCTAGAGAGCCACGGGTTGTGCAGGCTTTTGATCCAGCCCAGTAGCAACACACCACAGGAGGTTGGTGGCACCTTAATTGGGGAGGATGGGCTCGTGGTAATGACCGGAGCGGAATCAGTGGAATGGTATCAAATACATGGTTTCCATGGTTTCCAGGTGTTTGATGCCATTCCATTTGCTCCGTTCCAGACGTTATTATGAGCCGTCCTCCCCTCAGCAGCCTCCACTGCAACACACATTATTCAACTAATTGAGTAGTTGATGTCTCCTGAGTGGCGCAGTGGTCTAAGGCACTGCATCACAGTGCTAACTGTGCCACTAGAGATCCTGGTTCGAATCCAGGCTCTGTCGCAGCCGGCCGTGACCGGGAGACTCATGGGCGGCGCACAATTGGCCCAGCGTCGTCCAGGGTAGGGGAGGGAATGGCCGGCAGGGATGTAGCTCAGTTGATAGAGCATGGCGTTTGCAACGCCAGGGTTGTGGCTTCGATTCCCACAGGGGGCCAGTATAAAAAAAAAAAAAGATGTATTCACTAACTGTAAGTCGCTCTGGATAAGAGCGTCTGCTAAATGACTAAAATGTAAATGTGATGGAGCCCTTGACTTGTTGAATCAGGTGTGTTAGTTCATGCTGGGCTGGAACAATAGCCAGGACTGAAGTAGGTGTTCTAGTATCTCTTGCTCTGTAAGCAAGGCTGGATATTAGGTATCTCTCTATCTGTGTATCTGTGAGTGTTTTATAAACAGGGCTGGGTAATATGTATCTATCTGTGTATCTGTGACTGTGTTTTATAAGCAGACCAGGGCTGGATATTATGTCTTGGAAGAGCATGACGAGTTTAGTGTCTCCTGCTGAGCTTCAATTTCTACAACCACCCTGTATTCCCCTTTTAATCTGACTCAGTTTAGGTATCACATGAATCCTAATATACTCAAACATCTTACATCTGGGGATATAAACCCTTAGTAGAGAGGCCTGGCTGTGTGTGTGGCTGTGTGTGTGGCTGTGTGTGTGTGGTTGTGTGTGTGTGGCTGTGTGTGTGTGGATGTGTGTGTGGATGGTGTGTGTGTGGATGTGTTGTGTGGACTGTGTGTGTGTGTGGATGTGTGTGTGGATGTGTGTGTGGAGTGTGTGGATGGTGTGTGGTGGTTGTGGTGGATGGTGTGTGGTGGTGGGTGGTGTTGTGTGTGGGGTGTGTGTGGATGTGTGTGTGTGGCTGGTGGTGTGTGTGGATGGTGTGTGGATGTGTGGATGTGTGGGGGATGGTGTGGGTGGTGTGTGGGATGTGTGTGTGTGGTGGTGTGTGTGGGTGTGTGTGTGGGATGTGTGGTGTGGTGTGTGGGTGGATGTGTGTGGTGTGTGTGTGGATGGGTGTGTGGATGGGTGTGTGGAGTGGTGGGTGTGGTGGGTGGGTGGGGGTGGTGGGTGGGGGGGATGGGTGGGAGGGTGGTGTGGTGGTGGTGTGGTGTGGATGTGTGTGGGTGTGGGATGTGTGTGGGTGTGGTGTGGGTGTGGTGTGGTGGGTGTGGTGGTGTGTGTGGGATGTGTGTGGATGTGTGTGGTGGTGTGTGGATGTGTGTGGATGTGTGTGTGTGTGATGGTGTGGGTGGTGTGGGTGGGTGTGTGTGTGTGTGGTGTGTGGATGTGTGTGGGTTGTGTGGGTGTGGTGTGTGTGTGTGTGGTGTGTGTGGTGTGTGTGGCTTTGGTGTGTGTGTGGTGTTGTGGTTGTGTGTGGTGTGTGGTTTGTGTTGTGGTGTGTGGTTGTGTGTGTGGCTGTGTGTGTGTAGTGGATGTGTGGGTTGTGTGGTTGTGGGGGCTGTGTGTGTGTGGTGTATTTGACCCAATGAGAGAAAACGTAGGTGTGGAACTGTGTAATTCGGTCCAGATCTAAGAATAGTAATGTATTGTGGTTGAGTGTGAGGCTGACCGCTTGTTTATGGGTAGCTCTGTCTTATACTGTAACTACACTGGGGGGGGAAATACATCCTGTTGTTTTTAAGGTAATTTACTGGCAGCCAGTTACCTGTTAGTTACTGCAAAAAAGGTACACTATGTTACTGTAAACTTTACAGTAATGTACTGTTAAACCAAAGTTTCTGAAAGTTTCTGAATTTTACCTTGTGAGGAAAAACTCCTGGTCCTGTTCATGAGAGTAGAGGGCCAAGCTGTGACAGATTGTGTCTCCCACTGGCATGTGATGACTGTTTAATAACTATTCAACCCCCTCTTTCTCCCTCTCCTCTCTCTAGGTGGGCATCTGTGGACGCACAGGCAGTGGAAAGTCCTCCCTCTCTCTGGCCTTCTTCAATATGGTCGACATATTTGAAGGTTAGTCTCTCTCTCCTGGCGGCAGGTAGCTTAGTGGTTAAGAGCGTTGTGCCAGTAACCGAAAGGTTGCTGGTTCTAATCCCCGAGCCGACTAGGTGAAAAATCTGTCGATGTGCCCTTGAGCAAGGCACTTAACCCTAATTGCTCCTGTAAGTCGCTCTGGATAAGAGCATCTGCTAAATGACTAAAATGTAAAATGTCTCTGAAGCTGTGGACAGGGCCCTTGAAGCTCAAAGGCCTAGCACTTGTTACACAGCTCCCTCATAATGACTGTCAGTTTTCTTTTACAGTAGCTTAAAATAAGTGGTTGTACAAAACCCTCTCACAGTCATCCTCAAAGGCCCTCCACCGACTTCAAGGTAGAACTCTTTTTCAGTAGTGAAGTGCTAGTAGACATAACATAACTATGGTGACTGACAACAAATGCTGACACCAGAGGTCAAGCTATTTCCTTGACTATCCTGTCCCAAAGTGCCCTTTCAAAGTCAGAGGGAGGCTAGTGTTATAATATGGTAGTTAGTTTGAGTGGAGCTGTGTTTATTCTCATCTGATAAAGGGAAATAGGTCCTCTGCTGAAATCCATAACCTCCTTTTAGTTTTCTCTGTTTACACAGTACGGCCCTATGGCCACTGTCATCCTGACAACCTGTGATGATGTCATATTTAGTTGTCCATTGTACACAACTTTCTGCAGGGTGCCTGTTATTATTAGTATGCATATTCCCAGCCTCTTGCCAAATGTCATAAATAGAATAATCAAAACATAATCTTTGTATTTACACCACTCCTAGTCAGCTAATTCAGCCAAACCTATCTTTCACCAAACCCAACAATATATGCATATCCACACGAGCACTACTGCCGCAGACAATTGTATTTTACTTAACAATGAATGAAGACACATATTTGTTACCAGTGTCCCCTTATAAAGGCAGAGGGAGTGAGCTTGAACACTACGGTGTTGACTGTAGTCGTACTAATAGACTCGCCAGTGGACATTCTTGGTAAGATAATGTCCCCAGAAATAGACGAAATAAATAGACTAGAAAGTATGTTCAGTGAGTAATGATCATAAATGTGATGTTCAGCTTACTTGTGTATTCTTCTACAATATACAGAACAGAATGGCATCAACAACGAGACCATATATGCTTTGATAATGGCTGTGTTACTCTGAAAGGGCAAACAACATGCTCGCTACAAAGTTCCTATTCTGCTAAAGTGTTGTGGGTTGATTCCAAGGTGATATCTGTTGAAGTCATTCATTCTGAACATCCCTCTCTCTCTCTCTCTCTCTCTCTCTGTCTGTCTCTCTGTCTCTCTCTCTCTCTCTCTCTCTCTCTCTCTGTCTCTCTCTCTCTCTCTCTCCCTCTCTCTCTCTCTCTCTCTCTCTCTGTCTCTCTCTCTCTCTCTCTCGCTCTCTCTGTCTCTCTCTCTCTCTCTCTCTGTCTCTCTGTCTCTCTGTCTCTTCTTCTCTCTCTCTCTCTCTCTCTCTCTCTCTCTCTCTCTCTCTCTCTCTCTCTCTCTCTCGTCTTCTCTCTGTCTCTCTCTCTCTCTCTCTCTCTCTCTCTCTCCCTCTCCACCTCTCCTTTCAGGGCAGATCATCATTGATGGTATAGACATCTGTAAGCTGCCCCTCCAGACCCTGAGATCTCGTCTGTCCATCATCCTCCAGGACCCAGTGCTGTTCAGCGGATCCATCCGGTACGTAGGCTACGTGTAGAACTGTAGAACGTTAGAATGTTAGAACCCTTACCAGGACACTGTACGTACAGAGAAGAACCAGGGTGTGTGTGTGTGTGTGTGTGAGCCAGTGTGTACATGCAGAACGTTAGAACCATGATACAGGGTCAGGACCCCTTGCTCTGGCTGTTGACAGTCACAGACATGCATGCATACAAGAACGTGCCCAGAAGCTGACATAAGAGACACATTATTACACACATACACAAATACACACATACACACACACACACACATACACACACATACACATACACACACATACACACACACACACACACACACACATACACATATACACACACATACAGAGGCAGTGAAGGATCTGGTGTAACACAAACAGACAAGACCAATAAACAGTAACTTCCTCATGTCTCTCATTGGAGAAATGGATCAGTAGATTATAATAAATGTTAATAAATGCCACCTCTCTTTACACACAGTGACTGCCATTAGGACTACATTGTTGTAGTTTAGGAAGTTGAACAGATAACCATCTGCCTACACACGGGTAGAATACAACATTAGTGTACTACCATATATTGTTCCGAACACAATAACATAACAATAACAGTGGGCCTAATTCAGTTGACTTTATGAAGTAAAAATTAAGTAAAACAAATATCCAACATCTTGTTGTGTTTGTTTGGTTAAAATATGAAACTCCTCAGCAGACATCATGAAAGTTCTTCCCGCTCCCAGGAACATTGGATAGTCCTCTTATTTAGCTCTCTCTCTGCTCTCTTCTCTCTTCTCTCTCTCTAGAGAGAAGAGCGCGAGAGAGAGAGAGAGAAGGGAGAGAAAGAGAGAGAGAGATAGATCTCGAGAATCTCTCTAGCTAGAGGTCTCTCTCTCTCTAGTTATCTTATACTCGATGCGATCGATGAGAAGAGGATAGGAGTAGAGAGAGAGAGTATCGATAGAGCGGGATAGATGCGATAGATAGAGCGAGAAGATGCGGGGTAGAGAGAGATAGATAGAGGATCGAGAGCGCATCGATGGATAGCGCTAGAGAGAGCTAGTGTATATAGATAGATACTGAGAGCGCGATCGAGCGATAGACTCTCGTATAGCTCTATATCCTTATCATCTTCTCTATCTTCTATCTCTCTCTCTCTCTATCTTCGCGCTATAGGTTGGGTGTAGTGACACAGCTGAAGCTGTTTGGAGATTAGCAGCAGATAACTGAGTGCTGGTTTGTGATAAACCACAAAGAAAGAGCCAGATGTGGTCGGTGTTTATTTAGAAAGACGTTCTGGTCCCGATAAGAAATAAAGACCCATCCAATAGGTCCAACGTGGCAGTAAGTCAGAGGACCTTGCGTTTAGCCAGCCCGTTGCCATGGCGATGTTTACATGAACAGAGGCCTTGGGTGATTGGTCCTACAATAACACTGTGACAATGGCAGACAGCGCTACAATAGTAGCCCCACCATGGTTAAGCATTGATACATCATTAGGCCCAGTGGAACAGTTGTAGTATGAGTTAGTGTGGTAGTGAGTGGGGATTCCCTCTGGCTGTGTGCTGGGGGAGTTTTAGCTAAGAGGATGGGCAAGGATGGGCCCCAGTCGAAAATATGTGGCGGGCCAATTGCCATGTTATGGTCATCCACAGACAGTAGTGGGTTCTCTCTCTCCTGCCTGGTCTCTCCCTGTCTGTTTGTCTCTCTTTTCCTCTCTCTTCTGTCTATGTCTCTCTGTCTCTCTTTTCCTCTCTCTCTCTCTCTGTCTATGTCTCTCTTTTCTCTCTCTCTCTGTATTCTATTGTCTCTCTGTCTCTCTTTTCCTCTCTCTCTCTGTCTATGTCTCTCTGTCTCTCTTTTCCTCTATCTCTCTCTCTCTGTCTATTGTCTCCTTCTTTCTCTTCTCTGTTCTAGTCTCTCTGTCTCTCTTTCCTTCTCTCTCTTGTCTAGGTCTATTGTGCTCTCTTTTCTCCTTCTCTCTCTCTCTGTCTATTTGTCTCTCTGTCTCCTCTCTTTTCATCTATCTCTCTGTATATGTCCTCTGTCTCTCTTCCCCCCCCCCCCCCAAACACAAAAAAATAAAAAAAAAAAAAACAGAAAAAAAAACAAAAAAAAAAAAAAGAAAAAAAAATATAAAAAAAACAAAAAAACAAACAACAACAAAAAAAAAAAAACCCCCCCCCCCCACCCCCCCCCCCCCCCCCCCCCCCCCCCCCCCCCCCCCCCCCCCCCATCTCTCTCTCTCTCTCTCTCTCTCTCTATCTCCTCAATTCAATTTCAATTTAAGGGCTTATTGGCATGGGAAACGTTGTTAACAATTGCCAAAGCAATGAAGTAGAGAGATAGTAAAAAAAGATGAAATAACCAATAAATATTAACAGTAAACAATTACACTCGAAGTTTCAAAAGAATAAAGACATTTCAAATGTCATATTATGTATATATACAGTGTTGTAACAATGTGCAAATAGTTAAAGTACAAATGGGAAAATAAATAAACATAAATATGGGTTGTATTTACAATGGTGTTTGTTCTTCACTGGTTGCCCTTTTCTTGTGGCAACAGGTCACACATCTTGCTGCTGTGATGGCACACTGTGGTTTTTCACCCAGTAGATAAGGGAGTTTATCAAAATTGGGTTTGTTTTCGAATTCTTTGTGGATCGCTGTAATCTGAGGGAAATATGTGTCTCTAATATGGTCATACATTTGGCAGGAGGTTAGGAAGTGCAGCTCAGTTTCCACCTCATTTTGTGGGCAGTGTGCACATAGCCTGTCTTCTCTTGAGAGCCAGGTCTGCCCATGTCGGCCTTTCTCAATAGCAAGGCTATGCTCACTGAGTCTGTACATAGTCAAAGCTTTCCTTAAGTTTGGGTCAGTCACAGTGGTCAGGTATTCTGCCACTGTGTACTCTCTGTTTAGGGCCAAATAGCATTCTAGTTTGCTCAGTTTTTTTGTTTGTTCTTTTCCAATGTGTCAAGTAATTCTCTTTTTGTTTTCTCATGATTTGGTTGGGTCTAATTGTGTTGTTGTTGTTGTTGTTGTTGTTGTCCTGGGCTGTGTGGGGTCTGTTTGTGTTTGTGAACAGAGCCCCAGGACAAGCTTACTTAGGGGACTCTTCTCCAAGTTAATCTTCTGTAGGTGATGGCTTTGTTATGGAAGGTTTGGGAATCGCTTCATTTTAAGTGGTTATAGAATTTAATGGCTCTTTTCTGGATTTTGATAATTAGCGGGTATTGGCCTAATTCTGCCCTGCATGCATTATTTGGTGTTTTACGTTGTACACTGAGGATATTTTTGCAGAATTCTGCATGCAGAGTCTCAATTTGGTGTTTGTCCCATTTTGTGAATTATTGGTTGGTGAGCGGACCCCAGACCTCAGAACCATAAAGGGCAATGGGTTCTATAACTGATTCAAGTATTTTTAGCCAGATCCTAATTGGTATGTCAAATTTTATGTTCCTTTGATGGCATAGAAGGCCCTTCTTGCCTTGTCTCTCAGATCGTTCATAGCTTTGTGGAAGTTACCTGTGGCACTGATGTTGTAGGCCGAGGTATGTATAGTTTTTGTGTGCTCTAGGGCAACGGTTCGTCTAGATGGAATTTGTATTTGTGGTCCTGGCAACTGGACCTTTTTTGGAACACCATTATTTTTGTCTTACTGAGATTTACTGTCAGGGGCCCAGGTCTGACAGAATCTGTGCAGAAGATCTAGGTGCTGCTGTAGGCCCTCCTTGGTTGGTGACAGAAGCACCAGATCATCAGCAAACAGAAGACATTTGACTTCAGATTCTAGTAGGGTGAGGCCGGGTGCTGCATACTGTTCTAGTGCCCTCGCCAATTTGTTTATATATGTTGAAGAGGGTGGGGCTTAAACTGCATCCCTGTCTCACCCCACGGCCCTGTGGAAAGAAATGTGTGTGTTTTTGCCAATTTTAACCGCACACTTGTTGTTTGTGTACATGGATTTTATAATGTCGGATGTTTTTCCCCCAACCCCACTTTCCATCAATTTGTATAGCAGACCCTCATGCCAAATTGAGTCAAAAGCTTTTTTGAAATCAACAAAGCATGAGAAGACTTTGCCTTTGTTTTGGTTTGTTTGTTTGTCAATTAGGGTGTGCAGGGTGAATACGTGGTCTGTCGTACGGTAATTTGGTAAAAAGCCAATTTGACATTTGCTCAGTACATTGTTTTCACTGAGGAAATGAACTAGTCTGCTGTTAATTATAATGCAGAGGATTTTCCCAAGGTTGCTGTTGACGCATATCCCACGGTAGTTATTGGGGTCAAATTTGTCTCCACTTTTGTGGATTGGGGTGATCAGTCCTTGGTTCCAAATATTGGGGAAGATGCCAGAGCTAAGGATGATGTTAAAGAGTTTAAGTATAGCTAATTAAAATTTGTGGTCTGTATATTTTATCATTTCATTGAGGATACCATCAACACCACATTACTTTTTGGGTTGGAGGGTTTGTATTTTGTCCTGTACTTCATTCAATGTAATTGGAGAATCCAGTGGGTTCTGGTAGTCTTTAATAGTTGATTCTAAGATTTGCATTTGATCATGTATATTTTTTTGCTGTTTGTTCTCTGTTATAGGGACAAAAAGATTGGAGAAGTGGTTTACCCATACATCTCTGTTTTGGATAGATAGCTCCCAGAAGTGGTTAGAGTCTATGGATTCTTCGATTACATTGAGCTGATTTCTGACATGCTGTTCCTTCTTTTTCCGTAGTGTATTTCTGTATTGTTTTAGTGATTCACCATAGTGAAGGCGTAGGCTCAGGTTTTCTGGGTCTCTATGTTTTTGGTTGGATAGGTTTCTCAATTTCTTTCTTAGGTTTTTGCATTCTTCATCAAACCATTTATCACTGTTATTACTTTTCTTTGGTTTTCTGTTAAGAGATTTTTAGATTTGATAGGGAAGCTGAGAGGTCATATATACTGTTTAGGTTTTCTACTGCCAAGTTTACACCTTCACTATTACAGTGGAACGTTTTGTCCAGGAAGTTGTCTAGAATGGATTGAATTTGTTGTTTCCTAATTGTTTTTGGTAGGTTTTCAACACTACTTTCCTTCCATCTATAGCATTTCTTAATATTATTCAGTTCCTTTGGCTTTGATGCCTCATGATTGAGTATTGCTCTGTTCAAGTAGACTGTGATTTTGCTGTGGTCTGATAGGGGTGTCAGTGGGCTGACTGTGAACGCTTTGAGAGACTCTGGGTTGAGGTCAGTGATAAAGTAGTCTACAGTACTACTGCCAAGAGTCCCCTCGAAGCCTACCATTGACTATGTACATACCCTGTGTGCGACAGAGCTGCAGGAGTCGTGACCCCGTTTTTGTTGGTTATGTTGTCGTAGTTGGGCCCTAGGGGGGCATATGGGGGAGGGAATGCTGTCACCTCCAGGTAGGTGTTTGTCCCCCTGTGTGCTGAGGGTGTCAGGTTCTTGTCCAGTTCTGGCATTTAGGTCGCCACAGACTAGTACATGTCCCTGGGTCTGGAAATGATTGATTTCCCCCTCCAGGATGGAGAAACTGTCTTCATTAAAGTATGGGGATTCTAGTGGGGGGATATAGGTAGCACACAGGAGGACATTTTTCTCAGTTGAGATAATTTCCTTTTGAATTTCTAACCAAATGTAAAATGTTCCTGTTTTGATTAATTTAATAGAGTGAGTTAGGTCTGCTCTATACCAAATTAGCATACCCCCTGAGTCCCTTCCCAGTTTCACACCTGGTAGTTTGGTGGATGGGACTACCAGCTCTCTGTAACCTAGAGGGCAACCAGTGGGTCCGTCTCCTCTATACCATGTTTCTTGTAGGATGACAATGTCTGTATTTCCGATTTCTTTGGTGAAGTCCAGATTCCTGCTCTTTAGGCCAAAGGCAGATGACCTCAGGCCTTGGATATTCCAGGATGGAAATAGTGAAGGCTTTGTGTTCCATAAAGTGTCTAATGTTGTTGGTTGTGTGGTTTGGCCTCAGGCCAGTAATTGTGAGCAGAGCCTGCTGAGCATCTGGTACATGCCATTGGCTTGGGCTAGTGTTAAGTGTGGGTGTTGGGCCTGTTTGCCTGCTCACGGCCTGGGCGTATGTGTGACTTTCATGTTGAGGCCCTCTTTGTGGGAGTGGGGGGCTTGGGGTGGGGTAGGAGGGGCATAGGTCTGATCTGAGGGGGCCTAAATGGGGTGTGGGCATGGTTGACTTGGGGGGGAGTTTAATTGGTGGGGGTGGGGGTGTAGATGTGGTTGATGGTGCTGTGGTCTGGATGTAATCTCTGTATCTCGTCTCTGTATTTCAGAGAGTACCTGTACTGATGACATGTCTCCCTGGCAGGTTTAACCTGGACCCAGAGTGTACCTGTACTGATGTCATGTCTCCCTGGCAGGTTTTAACCTGGACCCAGAGTGTACCTGTACTGATGTCATGTCTCCCTGGCAGGTTTAACCTGGACCCAGAGTGTACCTGTACTGATGTCATGTCTCCCCTGGCAGGTTTAACCTGGACCCAGAGTGTACTGTACTGATGACAGACTGTGGGAGGCGCTAGAAATCGCCCAGCTGAAGACATGGTTCAAAGCCCTTTCTGGGGACTGGGTATGTGTCTGTCTGCCTGTCTGCCTGACTGTCTACCTGTCTGCCTGCCTGTCTGTTACCTGTCTGCCTGACTGACTGTCACATCTAGGGCTGTAATACTGGGAATCTACAACTGGGTTTTGGGGAAAGTATTTTGGAATTTTGCAATCTCTCAACTACACAATCTGGCAACCTGCAACCACACAATTTGGCAACCTCCAACTAACACCAATCTGGCTCCTACAACCACACAATCTGGCCACCTCCAAACCACACAATCTGGAAACCTGCAACAACACAATATGGCAACCTCTAACCACACAATCTGGTCACCCACAATCTGGGCAACCTCCAACCACACAATCTGGCAACCTCCAGCCACACAATCTGGCCACTCCAAACCACACAATCTGGCAACCTCCAACCACACAATCTGGCAAACTCCAACCACACAATCTGGCAAACTCCAACCACACAATCTGGCCACTTCCAACCACACAATCTTTGGGAAAGCATATTGGAGGGAAAACTAATCAGACAATATGCTACTAAAATAGAGCTTTCAGAAAGACGATTGCCTTAATAACGACTTGTGTGTGTGTGTGTGGTGTGTATGTGGTGTGTGTGTGTGTGTGTGTGGTGTGTGTGTGTGTTCCAGACGCGGGTGGTGACAGAGGGAGGGGAAAACTTCAGTGTGGGTCAGAGGCAGTTGTTCTGTCTGGCCAGAGCCTTCGTCAGGAAGAGCTCCATCCTCATTATGGATGAAGCCACCGCATCCATCGACATGGCAACGGTGAGCTTACACACCCTAACAGTCATGTACCCTCCATCACTAGATCTTTAGTAATATTATGATCATACGTTTCATTTTCTGCTCTTTTCATTTTTGTACAGCCAGATCTATGACATTACTTTTACAGCATATGGTATAAACAATAAATCAATGTCAGATACATTATATAAATAAAAAAACAGACATTCATATTGAGCCCTGTACATAGAGGTTTGATCAATAGCAGAACACATGTCCATGTATTTCAACCAGCCACATACTCTTCATTAGGGCACCCTGTTGTAAATGAAGCATTGATTTCCATTTGAAGCTAGAATCCTTAGTTGCTGTATCCATTTTTGGACTTATAAATGAAAAATATTACCCATTGTTCTTAAAGAACATAAACTTATAAAGCCTCATGAGCTTAGTTTCAACGGTCGTAACCCATCAGAACCCAAAATGTAAGCTTGTTTTACCCAAGTTTGTAAACGATGTAAATGTAAACAAACCACATATACCTTTCTTTGAGTAATTATTTTAAGTAGGACTGTGATTTGCTGTGGTCTGATAGGGGTGTCAGTGGGCTGACTGTGAACGCTTTGAGAGACTCTGGGTTGAGGTCAGTGATAAAGTAGTCTACAGTACTACTGCCAAGAGTCCCCTCGAAGCCTACCATTGACTATGTACATACCCTGTGTGCGACAGAGCTGCAGGAGTCGTGACCCGTTTTTGTTGGTTATGTTGTCGTAGTTGGGCCTAGGGGGGCATATGGGGGAGGGAATGCTGTCACCTCCAGGTAGGTGTTTGTCCCCCTGTGTGCTGAGGGTGTCAGGTTCTTGTCCAGTTCTGGCATTTAGGTCGCCACAGACTAGTACATGTCCCTGGGTCTGGAAATGATTGATTTCCCCCTCCAGGATGGAGAAACTGTCTTCATTAAAGTATGGGGATTCTAGTGGGGGGATATAGGTAGCACACAGGAGGACATTTTTCTCAGTTGAGATAATTTCCTTTTGAATTTCTAACCAAATGTAAAATGTTCCTGTTTTGATTAATTTAATAGAGTGAGTTAGGTCTGCTCTATACCAAATTAGCATACCCCCTGAGTCCCTTCCCAGTTTCACACCTGGTAGTTTGGTGGATGGGACTACCAGCTCTCTGTAACCTAGAGGGCAACCAGTGGGTCCGTCTCCTCTATACCATGTTTCTTGTAGGATGACAATGTCTGTATTTCCGATTTCTTTGGTGAAGTCCAGATTCCTGCTCTTTAGGCCAAAGGCAGATGACCTCAGGCCTTGGATATTCCAGGATGAAATAGTGAAGGCTTTGTGTTCCATAAAGTGTCTAATGTTGTTGGTTGTGTGGTTTGGCCTCAGGCCAGTAATTGTGAGCAGAGCCTGCTGAGCATCTGGTACATGCCATTGGCTTGGGCTAGTGTAAGTGTGGGTGTTGGGCCTGTTTGCCTGCTCACGGCCTGGGCGTATGTGTGACTTTCATGTTGAGGCCCTCTTTGTGGGAGTGGGGGGCTTGGGGTGGGTAGGAGGGGCATAGGTCTGATCTGAGGGGGCCTAAATGGGGTGTGGGCATGGTTGACTTGGGGGGGAGTTAATTGGTGGGGGTGGGGGTGTAGATGTGGTTGATGGTGCTGTGGTCTGGATGTATCTCTGTATCTCTGTCTCTGTATTTCAGAGAGTACCTGTACTGATGACATGTCTCCCTGGCAGGTTTAACCTGGACCCAGAGTGTACCTGTACTGATGTCATGTCTCCCTGGCAGGTTTAACCTGGACCCAGAGTGTACCTGTACTGATGTCATGTCTCCCTGGCAGGTTTAACCTGGACCCAGAGTGTACCTGTACTGATGTCATGTCTCCCTGGCAGGTTTAACCTGGACCCAGAGTGTACCTGTACTGATGACAGACTGTGGGAGGCGCTAGAAATCGCCCAGCTGAAGAACATGGTCAAAGCCCTTTCTGGGGGACTGGGTATGTGTCTGTCTGCCTGTCTGCCTGACTGTCTACCTGTCTGCCTGCCTGTCTGTCTACCTGTCTGCCTGACTGACTGTCACATCTAGGGCTGTAATACTGGGAATCTTACAAACTGGGTTTTGGGGAAAGTATTTGGAATTTTGCAATCTCTAACTACACAATCTGGCAACCTGCAACCACACAATTTGGCAACCTCCAACTACACAATCTGGCTACCTACAACCACACAATCTGGCCACCTCCAAACCACACAATCTGGAAACCTGCAACAACACAATATGGCAACCTCTAACCACACAATCTGGTCACCACAATCTGGCAACCTCCAACCACACAATCTGGCAACCTCCAGCCACACAATCTGGCCACCTCCAAACCACACAATCTGGCAACCTCCAACCACACAATCTGGCAAACTCCAACCACACAATCTGGCAAACTCCAACCACACAATCTGGCCACTTCCAACCACACAATCTTTGGGAAAGCATATTGGAGGGAAAACTAATCAGACAATATGCTACTAAAATAGAGCTTTCAGAAAGACGATTGCCTTAATAACGACTTGTGTGTGTGTGTGTGTGTGTATGTGTGTGTGTGTGTGTGTGTGTGTGTGTGTGTGTGTGTGTTCCAGACGCGGTGGTGACAGAGGGAGGGGAAAACTTCAGTGTGGGTCAGAGGCAGTTGTTCTGTCTGGCCAGAGCCTTCGTCAGGAAGAGCTCCATCCTCATTATGGATGAAGCCACCGCATCCATCGACATGGCAACGGTGAGCTTACACACCCTAACAGTCATGTACCCTCCATCACTAGCTCTTTAGTAATATTATGATCATACGTTTCATTTTCTGCTCTTTTCATTTTGTACAGCCAGATCTATGACATTACTTTTACAGCATATGGGTATAAACATAAATCAATGTCAGATACATTATATAAATAAAAAAACAGACATTCATTATTGAGCCCTGTACATAGAGGTTTGATCAATAGCAGAACACATGTCCATGTATTTCAACCAGCCACATACTCTTCATTAGGGCACCTGTTTGTAAATGAAGCATTGATTTCCATTGAAGCTAGAATCCTTAGTTGCTGTATCCATTTTTGGACTTATAAATTAATAATATCTACCCATTGATTCTTAAAGAACATAACTTATAAATGCCTCATGAGCTTAGTTCAACTGTCGTAACCCCATCAGAACCCAAAATGTAAGCTTGTTTTACTCCAATGTTTGTAAACGATGTAAATGTAAACAAACACTATATAGCCTCAAAACATGGTTTAAAACTATAATGTTGATATCATGGATGGTCAGTCCTTGCATCCATAGCTCTGTCTATGTATTTCAGAGTGGTTCCATTTCTCCAGCTCCATCCTGAGGCTGGGAGAACGTATTGTTATTGTTTAAATGAAGGATTCTATCTTTAGGGGCCGTTAAGTTTTGTTGCGATTGCTGCGCGACAGTGAGGACCCTCACTCTCCTCCAGCCTCTCAGGTTTCAGTCCGGAGGCATGGCAGTTTATAATAAAATTACTGGCAGTTTATAATAAAATTACTGGCAGTTTATATATCAATTACTTGCAGTTTATAATAAAATTACTGTCAGTTTATATATAAATTACTGGCAGTTTATAATAAAATTACTGGCAGTTTATAATAAAATTACTGGCAGTTTATATATCAATTACTTGCAGTTTATATATAAATTACTGGCAGTTTATATATCAATTACTGGCAGTTTATATATCAATTACTTGCAGTTTATATATAAATTACTGGCAGTTTATAATAAAATTACTGGCAGTTTATATATCAATTACTTGCAGTTTATAATAAAATTACTGTCAGTTTATATATAAATTACTGGCAGTTTATAATAAAATTACTGGCAGTTTATAATAAAATTACTGGCAGTTTATATATCAATTACTTGCAGTTTATATATAAATTACTGGCAGTTTATATATCAATTACTGGCAGTTTATATATCAATTACTTGCAGTTTATATATAAATTACTGGCAGTTTATAATAAAATTACTGTCAGTTTATATATAAATTACTTGCAGTTTATATTCAAATTACTGGCAGTTTATATATCAATTACTGGCAGTTTATATATCAATTACTTGCAGTTTATATATAAATTACTGGCAGTTAATATATAAATTACTGGCAGTTTATATATCAATTACTGGCAGTTTATATATCAATTACTGGCAGTTTATATGTAAATTACTGGCAGTTTATATATCAATTACTGGCAGTTTACAATAAAATTACTGGCAGTTTATATATCAATTACTTGCAGTTTATATATAAATTACTGGCAGTTTATAATAAAATTACTGTCAGTTTATATATAAATTACTTGCAGTTTATATATAAATTACTGGCAGTTTATATATCAATTACTGGCAGTTTATATATCAATTACTTGCAGTTTATATATAAATTACTGGCAGTTTATATATAAATTACTGGCAGTTTATATATCAATTACTTGCAGTTTATATATAAATTACTGGCAGTTTATATATCAATTACTGGCAGTTTATATATCAATTACTGGCAGTTTATATGTAAATTACTGGCAGTTTATATATCAATTACTGGCAGTTTACAATAAAATTACTGGCAGTTTATATATCAATTACTTGCAGTTTATATATAAATTACTGGCAGTTTATATATCAATTACTGGCAGTTTATATATCAATTACTGGCAGTTTATATATCAATTACTGGCAGTTTATATGTAAATTACTGGCAGTTTATATATACATTACTGGCAGTTTATATATACAGTGGGGGAAAAAAGTATTTAGTCAGCCACCAATTGTGCAAGTTCTCCCACTTAAAAAGATGAGAGAGGCCTGTAATTTTCATCATAGGTACACGTCAACTATGACAGACAAAATGAGAAAAAAATATCCAGAAAATCACATTGTAGGATTTTTAATGAATTTATTTGCAAATTCTGGTGGAAAATAAGTATTTGGTCAATAACAAAAGTTTCTCAATACTTTGTTATATACCCTTTGTTGGCAATGACACAGGTCAAACGTTTTCTGTAAGTCTTCACAAGGTTTTCACACACTGTTGCTGGTATTTTGTCCCATTCCTCCATGCAGATCTCCTCTAGAACAGTGATGTTTTGTGGCTGTCGCTGGGCAACACGGACTTTCAACTCCCTCCAAAGATTTTCTATGGGGTTGAGATCTGGAGACTGGCTAGGCCACTCCAGGACCTTGAAATGCTTCTTACGAAGCCACTCCTTCGTTCCCGGGCGGTGTGTTTGGGATCATTGTCATGCTGAAAGACCCAGCCACGTTTCATCTTCAATGCCCTTGCTGAAGGAAGGAGGTTTTCACTCAAAATCTCACGATACATGGCACCATTCATTCTTTCCTTTACACGGATCAGTCGTCCTGGTCCCTTTGCAGAAAAACAGCCCCAAAGCATGATGTTTCCACCCCCATGCTTCACAGTAGGTATGGTGTTCTTTGGATGCAACTCAGCATTCTTTGTCCTCCAAACACGACGAGTTGAGTTTTTACCAAAAAGTTATATTTTGGTTTCATCTGACCATATAACATTCTCCCAATCCTCTTCTGGATCATCCAAATGCACTCTAGCAAACTTCAGACGGGCCTGGACATGTACTGGCTTAAGCAGGGGGACACGTCTGGCACTGCAGGATTTGATTCCCTGGTGGCGTAGTGTGTTACTGATGGTAGGCTTTGTTACTTTGGTCCCAGCTCTCTGCAGGTCATTCACTAGGTCCCCCCGTGTGGTTCTGGGATTTTTGCTCACCGTTCTTGTGATCATTTTGACCCCACGGGGTGAGATCTTGCGTGGAGCCCCAGATCGAGGGAGATTATCAGTGGTCTTGTATGTCTTACATTTCCTAATAATTGCTCCCACAGTTGATTTCTTCAAACCAAGCTGCTTACCTATTGCAGATTCAGTCTTCCCAGCCTGGTGCAGGTCTACAATTTTGTTTCTGGTGTCCTTTGACAGCTCTTTGGTCTAGGCCATAGTGGAGTTTGGAGTGTGACTGTTTGAGGTTGTGGACAGGTGTCTTTTATACTGATAACAAGTTCAAACAGGTGCCATTAATACAGGTAACGAGTGGAGGACAGAGGAGCCTCTTAAAGAAGAAGTTACAGGTCTGTGAGAGCCAGAAATCTTGCTTGTTTGTAGGTGACCAAATACTTATTTTCCACCATCATTTGCAAATAAATTCATAAAAAATCCTACAATGTGATTTTCTGGAATTTCTTTTCTCAATTTGTCTGTCATAGTTGACGTGTACCTATGATGAAAATTACAGGGCTCTCTCATCTTTTTAAGTGGGAGAACTTGCACAATTGGTGGCTGACTAAATACTTTTTTCCCCCACTGGACATTACTGGCAGTTTATATATATACATTACTGGCAGTTTATATACACATTACTGGCAGTTTATATATAGAGTGTGCGACTCTCTTTATTTGTTTTTATACGGAAAAGCAGGCCAACATCAATCTGAGGTCGTTACGATCACAGCTGTAGCATTAACCTTTGACCCTGACAGGTACACTCTATCAAACTACCATCACACTGTGATGTAGACAACAAAGAGGTGACAACACTCACAATGGAGTGACATTGCTGTGGAGTGCGCATGGTTGTATCTAAGGCTGTGCTCCTAATGACACACTATTCCCTATAAAGTGCACTATTTTCTGGCCAGGGCCTATAGGGCGATGGTCAAAAGTAGTGCACTATGCAAGGAATAGGGTGCCATTTGGGACACAGCCTAAAGAGCTGACCTACTTCTCATTTCTCACCCCTACAGGAGAATGTCTTACAGAAGGTGGTGATGACAGCCTTCGCCGACCGAACAGTCGTCACTATTGCAGTAAGTCTGTTACAGCCTGTAGGTCATTAGGTCATTAGCTTGAAAGGTCAGATGTGGAAGAGTTATTCTGTGTATAGATGTGGAGACTCCTCTTGGTCTGCTCTCTCTCTCTATGGATCAATCATTGGAGAAAGGATAGAGACTAGGACTAGCTGATTTCTCCTCGCTTTTAGATGAGCTCCTCTTCCTTATCCTATCTTTCCAATGTCTCCTGTGTCATCATACTGTACCTCTGCTACTCATGCCTCCAAATACTTCTCATGCCTCCAAATGCTTCTCATGCCTCCAAATGCTTCTCATGCCTCCAAATGCTTCTCATGCCTCCAAATGCATTTACGGACCGATTCAGAGTTGGGATAAGGCGGAACTCGAACATTACCATAAATCATTTATTGATGTCAGTGGGAGACTGATGAAAATTGATGTTAAGTGTGCTGCAGATCTCAACTCTGAATGAACCTCTCTAGACTCAAACAGCTTGTCTGCTGTCCTTCCTTCACCTGTCTTCTTCTCCTTGTTTTACCTGTCTGTCTGTTCTTGCTCCTCTCCTTCTGTCTCCCCGTCTATCCTTCTCACCGTTCTGCCGCCCAGCACCTGGTGTCCTCCATCTTGGAGGCTGAACAGGTGCTGGTGTTCTCCACGGGGCAGCTAGTGGAGTTTGACTCTGCAGCCAACCTGCTAGCACAGCAGGACAGCCTCTTCAGTGTCTTAGTGAGGACTCACAAGTAGGCCCTGTCCCACTCTGCCTCTCAGGCCTCTACAGCCTCCCGGGTTGGTACTGCATGCTGTCTGAGACCACTGTCAGGGGGTTAAAGAGAGGGGTACTACATCTAATCTGTCTGGGGGTTAAATAGAGGGGTACTACATCTAATTTGTCTGGGGGTTAAATAGAGGGGTACTACATCTAATTTGTCTGGGGGTTAAATAGAGGGGTACTACATCTAATTTGTCTGGGGGTTAAGGAGGGATACTACATCTAATCTGTCTGGGTGTAAGGAGGGATACTACATCTAATCTGTCTGGGGGTTAAGGAGGGATACTACATCTAATCTGTCTGGGGGTTAAGGAGAGGGTTACTACATCTAATCTGTCTGGGGGTTAAGGAGGGATACTACATCTAATCTGTCTGGGGGTTAAAGAGGGATACTACATCTAATCTGTCTGGGGGTTAAAGAGGGATACTACATCTAATCTGTCTGGGGGTTGAGGACGGATACTACATCTAATCTGTCTGGGGGTTAAGGAGAGGGGTACTATATCTAATCTGTCTGGGGGTTAAGGAGAGAGGTACTACATCTAATCTGTCTGGGGGTTAAGGAGGGATACTACATCTAATCTGTCTGGGGGTTAAGGATAGGGATACTACATCTAATCTGTCTGGGGGTTAAAGAGGGATACTACATCTAATCTGTCTGGGGGTTAAAGAGAGATACTACATCTAATCTGTCTGGGGGTTAAAGAGAGATACTACATCTAATCTGTCTGGGGGTTAAGGAGGGATACTACATCTAATCTGTCTGGGGGTTAAAGAGGGATACTACATCTAATCTGTCTGGGGGTTAAAGAGAGGGGTACTACATCTAATCTGTCTGGGGGTTAAAGAGAGATACTACATCTAATCTGTCTGGGGGTTAAGGAGGGGTACTACATCTAATCTGTTTGGGGGTTAAAGAGAAGGGTACTACATCTAATCTGTCTGGGGGTTAAAGAGGAATACTACATCTAATCTGTCTGGGGGTTAAAGAGATACTACATCTAATCTGTCTGGGGGTTAAAGAAAGATACTACATCTAATCTGTCTGGGGGTTAAAGAGAGATACTACATCTAATCTGTCTGGGGGTTAAAGAGAGGGTTACTACATCTAATCTGTCTGGGGGTTAAGGAGAGGGGTACTACATCTAATCTGTCTGGGGGTTAAGGAGGGATACTACATCTAATCTGTCTGGGGGTTAAAGAGGGATACTACATCTAATCTGTCTGGGGGTTAAAGAGGGATACTACATCTAATCTGTCTGGGGGTTAAAGAGGGATACTACATCTAATCTGTCTGGGGGTAAGGAGGGATACTACATCTAATCTGTCTGGGGGTTAAGGAGGGATGCTACATCTAATCTGTCTGGGGGTTAAGGAGAGGGGTACTATATCTAATCTGTCTGGGGGTTAAGGAGAGGGATACTACATCTAATCTGTCTGGGGGTTAAGGATAGGGATACTACATCTAATCTGTCTGGGGGTTAAAGAGGGATACTACATCTAATCTGTCTGGGGGTTAAAGAGAGATACTACATCTAATCTGTCTGGGGGTTAAAGAGAGATACTACATCTAATCTGTCTGGGGGTTAAGGAGGGATACTACATCTAATCTGTCTGGGGGTTAAAGAGGGATACTACATCTAATCTGTCTGGGGGTTAAAGAGAGGGGTACTGCATCTAATCTGTCTGGGGGTTAAAGAGAGATACTACATCTAATCTGTCTGGGGGTTAAGGAGGGGTACTACATCTAATATGTTTGGGGGTTAAAGAGGAGGGTACTACATCTAATCTGTCTGGGGGTTAAAGAGGAATACTACATCTAATCTGTCTGGGGGTTAAAGAGATACTACATCTAATCTGTCTGGGGGTTAAAGAGAGATACTACATCTAATCTGTCTGGGGGTTAAAGAGAGATACTACATCTAATCTGTCTGGGGGTTAAAGAGAGGGTTACTACATCTAATCTGTCTGGGGGTTAAGGAGGGATACTACATCTAATCTGTCTGGAGGTTAAAGAGAGGGGTACTACATCTAATCTGTCTGGGGGTTAAGGAGGGATACTACATCTAATCTGTCTGGAGGTTAAAGAGAGGGGTACTACATCTAATCTGTCTGGGGGTTAAGGAGGGATACTACATCTAATCTAATTAGCAGTTGGCTCTTGGAGGTTGACTCTTGGGGTTGTGAAATAAGACTAAATGAAAATACATGTTTTTATTCAGGTATCTGTTAGATTTTCTCAGCACAGTTTATCTCTGTCTGTCTGGCTACATTGCAAGTCAAAGCTGCATTGCATCCCTTACTCTTTTTTGTGTAGTTAAACAATCAATGTAATGTGTGTGTGTGTGTGTGTGTGTGTGTGTGTGTGTGTGTGTGTGTGTGTGTTCTTCATGCAGCATCGTGTACACACTATCCTGGAAGCTGACCTGGTGATCGTGATGAAGCGAGGGAACATCTTGGAGATGGACAAACCAGAGAGCCTTCTGGAGCACGAGGACGGCATGTTCGCTTCCTTCGTCAGGGCTGACATGTAGACTCACACACTGTCAGCTGCACAACATCAATCAGTCTATCAATCAATCAATTCATTAATCAATTAATCAGCCTCCTCAGTGTTTCCCACAATGCTTAGGTGGGGTGCAGAGGTCCAGATATTATTATCATTATTGACTGAAGCTAATACTGTAGGTTACTGTAGGGGAAACGGAGCCGGGCCGGTGGACCACCCCAACTTGGTAATGGTAGGGGAAACACTGCTTCCCAAAGCACCACTGATGGCCTTCTTGTGTTGATTATTGGTAATGTATTCGTTATTTATTGGTTGATTGATTGATCGAATGATTGACCTATTAACTTGGTCCTGTAAGGATCACAAATCGGTCATTAAATATGATTACAATTTTACAAAGCTTTACTTAAATGTTTTATGTTTAAATGATATATTTTGTTACACTTATTACTAGATCATGTATGTATATGTATATATTTTACACCATTACTCATAGGTAAGCAATAAGCAGGTATACTATAGTACTACTAGTATGGTACCAACACTGTAGGGAATATATCGCTGGAACATTTTTAGCCCGGCGACCCTCTGTCTGTCTGATGAGATGCTATGCTGACTGAACCATGGGACTGTGGACATTTAGTGGTCACTGACTCCTCTTTGAAAAGCACAGCTTTCACCCAATGGGTGTGCTCTAAAGGACTGAATCCTAACGTGAGATGTGCATGCCTAACTTCAACTTGTACAAACCTTGTGTACTGTAAACCATGCATTCATGTCAAGATGTATGTGAAAACTTGGGAGTTATGCACGTTGATCTTAAGTTAAGATCCAGCCCTAAATGATAAGGGAAGATTCCGCTTTCTTCTCCCTACCATAAGCCAGCGTTAGCGTAGCTCAGGCCAGCGTTTCTACCATACATGGTTCTGGCTGGTGTTATTGGTAAGGAAAGTGGTTTATATTTTCAGTATTAAACCTGGTTTCTGGGGAGCCGTGCCACTGTCCCACTGTAGTACCTGGATGTGTATAGTTATTTTGCATATCGAACAATGAGAATGTTATATTGACTTCTTTGTATTGTATTATAGCCTGAATGCCAAACTGATTCTTGTAATGTGACTTTGAAGAATTTCAGTATTTCCCACCATACTGCTGTGCTGTTTTGTTTGTCAGTGGAAAACGGTTTCTCATCTCAAGAAATTCATTTTTTATTCATTCTTCATTCTTATTCAATCCCAAACTCATGACTGTCACGGTTTCGGCCGAGGCTGCTCCTCTTCCTTGTTCGGGCGGACTTCGGCGGTCGTCGTCTCCGGAGTACTAGCTGCCACCGTTCGATGTTTTTTGTTCTTTTGGTTTTGTCTGTGCATAACACCTGTCCCTTATTTGTGTCTTGATTATTCTCCTTATTTAGTTGGTTTGTTTGGGGCAGGTGTTATGCGTGATTGTTATTGTCAGTTTGCCTCCGAGTAGTTCTCTCTCTCGTTTATTTAGTATTTTCGAGAGTTCGCACTGCGTGCGCCTTTTCTTGTTTTTCCGCACTGTGTGTTGTGCGTAATTGTTCGTGCCGCCCGGTTGGGTTGGCGACTCATTTCCCGTGTTGGGATACATATATATACTAAAGTCCGTTGAAGAACCTCCTTGTCCCTGCGCTTGATTCCTGCACTACATCCACACTCAACACTCTGACAGAATCACGCATCATCATGGAATCAGCAGGAGCGACCGCGCCGACCGCCGATCTGGACGAACGGCTTCGTGGTCAGGAGGACCGTATGAACCAGGTGTGTCACGCCCTGGATAGGGTGATGACCACCCTACACCGATGGGAGACCAGCGGGGTGCCCACACCTCCAACCACCGACCCAGCTCCAGCGGTCAGCCCTCCGGGTACATCTCCGGAACCCAGTGGGATTCGGCTCTCGCTCCCGAGGGCGTACGACGGCTCCACCGCCGGGTGTCAAGGGTTCCTGCTGCAGGTGGAGCTCTACCTCGCCACCGTCCACCCGGCGCCCTCGGGACACGAGAGCGTCTCAGCCCTCATCTCCTGTCTCACCGGCAAGGCGTTGGAGTGGGCCAACGCCGAGTGGAGGAGAATGGACGCCGCAACCACGAACTATGCGGAGTTCTCCCGCCGCTTCCGTGCTGTATTCGACCATCCACCAGAGGGGAAGGCGGCGGAGAGTCCGAATCTAATGCCAGCACTGCAGATTCCCCCCGAGTATGAGGATTTGGCACTGGCGTTCAGTAAGACTAGGGCTGCGCAGCTGCCGCCTCATAGACGGGGGGATTGTGCGATAGATCTCCAGTCAGGCGCAGCTCTCCCGCGGAGCCATGTGTATCCCTTGTCTCAAGAGGAGAAAAAATCGATGGAGACGTACATCTCTGAGTCTCTTAGACAGGGGTACATACGGCCCTCCGTTTCACCCGTTTCCTCAAGTTTCTTTTTTGTGAAGAAGAAGGATGGAGGTCTGCGGCCGTGTATTGATTACCGCGGTCTCAATCAGATCACAGTGAAGTACAGCTATCCACTTCCTCTGATTGCGACTATGACGGAGTCACTGCACGGCGCGCGGTTCTTTACAAAATTGGATCTTAGGAGCGCATATAACTTGGTGCGCATCCGTAAGGGCGATGAATGGAAGACAGCGTTTAGCACGACTTCAGGGCACTACGAGTATCTAGTCATGCCATATGGGTTGATGAATGCTCCCTCAGTCTTCCAATCCTTCGTTGATGAGATTTTCCGGGACATGCAGGGACAGGGAGTGGTTGTGTACATCGACGACATTCTGGTGTATAGTCCTACCCGTGCTGAGCATGTAGCCCTGGTGCGCCGAGTATTGCGGAGGCTGTTGGAGCATGACCTATATGTCAAGGCAGAGAAATGTCTGTTTTTTCAGAAGTCGGTCTCCTTTCTGGGTTACCAGTTATCTGCGTCAGGGGTGAAGATGGAGGTAGACCGGGTGTCAGCTGTGCGTAATTGGCAAACCCCAACCACTGTGAAGGAGGTGCAACGGTTCTTGGGTTTTGCGAATTACTACCGGAGGTTTATCCGGGGTTTTGGACAGGTGGCAGCTCCCATAACGTCTCTGTTAAAGGGGGGTCCGGTGCGCTTGCGGTGGTCAGCTGAGGCGGACAGGGCATTTGGGAGACTGAAGGACCTGTTTACCTCGGCGCCGGTGTTGGCGCATCCGGATCCCTCTTTACCGTTCCAAGTAGAGGTGGACGCGTCAGAGGCCGGAATAGGGGCCGTTCTTTCCCAGCGTTCTGGTACTCCACCTAAACTCCGTCCCTGTGCGTTCTACTCTAAGAAGCTCAGTCCGGCGGAGCGGAATTATGACGTAGGGGACAGGGAGCTGTTAGCCGTGGTACAGGCCCTAAAGGTGTGGCGGCATTGGCTCGAGGGGGCTCAACACCCTTTCCTCATTCAAACTGACCATCGTAACCTGGAGTACATCCGGGCAGCTAGGAGACTGAATCCTCGCCAGGCTCGTTGGACTATGTTCCTGGCCCGGTTTGTGTTTAAGATCACATACATCCCTGGGTCCCAGAACGGGAAGGCAGATGCTCTGTCCCGGCGGTATGACGCGGAGGAGAGGTCAGTTGAGTTCACGCCCATACTACCGGAGTCTTGTCTGGTTGCTCCGGTGGTGTGGGAGGTTGATGGTGAGATCGAGCGGGCGTTACGCACCGACCCGAGTCCTCCTCAGTGTCCTGTGGGTCGGACGTACGTTCCGCTCGAGATACGCGATCGCCTCATTTGTTGGGCTCACACGTCTCCCTCCTCTGGTCATCCGGGTATCGGCCGGACAGTGCACTGCCTTAGCACGAAGTACTGGTGGCCAACGTTAGCTAGGGATGTGAGGATTTATGTTTCCTCCTGTTCGGTGTGTGCCCAGTGTAAGGCGCCCAGACATTTGCCCAGGGGTAAGTTACAACCCCTGCCTATTCCACAACGACCCTGGTCCCACCTCTCGGTGGATTTTGTTACCGACCTTCCCCCCTCACAGGGAAACACTACCATCCTGGTCGTTGTGGATAGGTTCTCGAAGGCCTGTCGTCTCCTTCCCATGCCGGGTCTACCCACTGCCCTGCAGACCGCGGAGGCTCTGTTCACCCATGTCTTCCGGCATTACGGGGTACCCGAGGATATAGTGTCTGACCGAGGCCCCCAGTTCACCTCGAGAGTGTGGAGGGCATTTATGGAACGGTTGGGGGTGTCGGTAAGCCTTACCTCGGGTTACCACCCGGAAAGTAATGGGCAGGTTGAACGTGTCAACCAGGATGTGGGTAGGTTTCTGAGGTCATACTGTCAGGGCCGGCCGGAGGAGTGGGCGAGATATGTGCCCTGGGCGGAGATGGCACAGAACTCTCTTCGCCACTCCTCCACCCAACTAACCCCGTTTCAGTGTGTGTTGGGGTACCAGCCGGTGCTGGCACCATGGCATGAGAGCCAGATCGAGGCCCCCGCTGTGGATGAGTGGGTAAGGCGCTCGGAGGAGACGTGGGACGCTGCACACGTCCATCTGCAGCGTGCCATACGTCGACAGAAGACGAGCGCCGACCTACACCGCAGTGAGGGGCCAGTGTACGCACCTGGAGATCGAGTCTGGCTCTCAACCAGAAACCTGCCCCTCCGCCTGCCCTGCCGGAAGCTGGGTCGGCGGTTTGTGGGGCCGTTTAAAGTCCTGAGGAGATTGAACGAGGTGAGTTATAGGTTAGAACTACCTGTTGACTACAAAAATATTAACCCCTCGTTCCATGTGTCTCTCCTCAGGCCGGTGGTAGCTGGTCCACTCCAGGACTTTGAGATTGAGGAGACTCCTCCGCCCCCGTTGGACATCGAGGGGGCTCCGGCGTACACCGTGAGGTCCATTCTGGATTCTAGACGCCGGATGGGGGGTCTTCAATATCTCGTGGAGTGGGAGGGGTACGGTCCGGAGGAGCGGTGCTGGGTGCCAAGGAGGGACGTGCTAGACCAGTCCCTACTGACCGATTTCCATCGGGGTCATCCTGCGCGCCCTGCTCCGCGTCGTCCGGGTCGTCCTCGAGCTCCGGGTCGGCGCACGGCTGGAGCCGCGCGTCAAGGGGGGGGTACTGTCACGGTTTCGGCCGAGGCTGCTCCTCTTCCTTGTTCGGGCGGACTTCGGCGGTCGTCGTCTCCGGAGTACTAGCTGCCACCGTTCGATGTTTTTTGTTCTTTTGGTTTTGTCTGTGCATAACACCTGTCCCTTATTTGTGTCTTGATTATTCTCCTTATTTAGTTGGTTTGTTTGGGGCAGGTGTTATGCGTGATTGTTATTGTCAGTTTGCCTCCGAGTAGTTCTCTCTCTCGTTTATTTAGTATTTTCGAGAGTTCGCACTGCGTGCGCCTTTTCTTGTTTTTCCGCACTGTGTGTTGTGCGTAATTGTTCGTGCCGCCCGGTTGGGTTGGCGACTCATTTCCCGTGTTGGGATACATATATATACTAAAGTCCGTTGAAGAACCTCCTTGTCCCTGCGCTTGATTCCTGCACTACATCCACACTCAACACTCTGACAATGACCCACAATTCCTGCCCTACTTTCCGTACACACGTGTCGGCTGTTTTCATGTTTTCAACTCACCTCTCAACCAAGTGAGAAGAACCATTCATTTAACACCTCTGTCTCGTTTCTGGAAAGACGCCCTCTCTATAATCTATGAATGGGTAAGCGTCTTCTAGCCTGGTTGAACCAGACTGAACCATTGTTTTACTTCACCATTGTTTCATTTAGCTTGGATTCCAGGCTAGGAATCCCCTCAACCTCCAAACTCTCCAATGCATACATTATAAGTGAGTAGAAGCCAAGTATGTTTAATGTAGCTTCTGCAGTGGCGGGTGGGTCCATGTATGTAAAAGGCCAAAGGTCAACAACATGGCCCCTATAGTGTGACTGCTATCCTTCACCAGCGTTGTCTTTTTATGGGCAAAGCAGCACTTTGGTTTCAGTCAGTCTGTCAGAAAGCGCAGAGACACAACTCTCACCACTCTCTAGAAAGATGATCTCATGAGAGGAGAATGACTATAGATATAGAGCACTGATATATTGTCTAGGAGAATGACATTGGAGATGAGTGGTAGGCTATTTTCCCTCTGATGAATCTGAAGGCAAGGCTGTGGTGTGGTGTGTGTGTACGGCTATGACTGTCTGTTAATCCTACACTCTTAGAAAAAAGGGTTCCAGAAGGGTTCTTCGGCTGTTCCCATAGGATAACCCTTTTTGGTTCAAGGTAGAACCCTTTTGGGTTCCATGTAGAACCCTCTGTGGAAAGGGTTCTACATGGATCCCAAAAGTGTTCTACCTGGAACCAAATAGGTTCTAGCTGGAACCAAAAATGGTTATTCGAAGGGTTGTTCGTTGGCCGATTTTGTCTTGAACGGATGGTCGGGGGGCCGGAACATAATTACAAATAATTTGTAGACTGCAAATTGACCGCAAGAAGCCCAAACAGATATAATGTTTAACTAAAACATAATGATTTTAAACCTTGCTTACAGTTGTATATGATCACGTGTCTCTATTACAGTATGTGTGAGAATACTTGGGAACAGATTTTTTAAATTAAAATCACTTGGAGCTGATTTCCTTTTTGTGTGTGTGTGTGTGTGTGGGGGGGGGGGGGGGGGGGGGGTTGCTCAGAAAGCTTGGGGGGCCAAATAAAACCACCCGTGGACCAGATTCGGCCTGCGGGCCACCAGTTGGGGAACCCTGTTCTATGGGGACAGCTGAAAAACCCTTTTAGGTTCTAGATAGAAAAACCCAGCTGCGTTGCAGTTCTTGACACACTCAAACCGGTGCGCCTGGCACCTACTACCATATCCCGTTCAAAGGCACTTAAATATTCACCCTCTGAATGGCACACATACACAATCCATGTCTCAATTGTCTCAAGGCTTAAAAATCCTTATTTAACCTGTCTCCTCCCCTTCATCTACACTGATTGAAGTGGATTTAACAAGTGAAATCAATAAGCGATCATAGCTTTCACATGGATTCACCTGGTCAGTCTATGTCATGGAAAGAGCAGGTGTTCTCAATGTTTTGTACACTCTACTTATAGATCTATAGTCATTCAGACTGCAGATATCCTTGATCCATATCACAAGAGATGATATCATCTCTGCTTTTACTGTTTATATTTTCAATCTTGGGAATGTGCACAGAAATATATGTTGAAATATTATCAATATCATTTCGAGACTACGTGTAGTCTTTTTTCATTTTATTTTATGTTTTAAGTATAGAACTAGTTGATCATTACACTGTGTGCCTACCTTTTTACACTTGAACTGATAATAAAAATGTGCTTTGAGTGAAAGTGCTTTTTGAGTTTAAAACGCTCACCTACACTCACTCTGTCTCTCACACACAACACACCAGACCTCCTCGCAGAGGACATCAGTTGCTAAATGGCGCCATCTCTTGGTCATCAATGGGAAGTGGCCCTATCCTAATAATTAATATATGCCATTTAGCAGACGCTTTTATCCAAAGCGACTTACAGTCATGTGTGCATACATTTTTACGTATCGGTGGTCCCGGGGATCACTACCCTGGCGTTACAAGCGCCATGCTCTACCAATTGAGCTACAGAGGACCACATGATAATGTAATAACACAGCAATAATTAGCTTACTGTTGGAAAACAAGTTATTTTTCTATTACACTTGCCTTGTATAAAAATAAAACATCAATTATATTTTGCTTTTGTACCCAGTAATGGGATGGTTTAACCATTACCTCAAATACCGGTATCGATGAACTAAACATAATTTCCAACGGGTACAAATATATTGTTTTGTTTTTAAATCAATAAAACAAAACAAAAACATAATTTAGAAGTAATTACTGTGGTTTCCTCTTTGTTGAACAAAGCCAGCAGTGCATTGCATCCCGCCCATAGAGTGGAGCAGCTACGTCAATAGAATTTGGGATGCGCCCTTGGTCGGTGACTGCCTGGAAGCTCTCACCCGTCAGTACAACTTTTTGGAAGTGGCGATAGAGCTGACCAAACAGCTACAAACTTTTATGTGATAGAAGTTAATTGAAATCAAATCGATGAAAAACGTTACCAAATTACCCGGGTAAGAATTTATCCAACTCTGAATCATGTTTTACGCAAGCTGACAGGATAATTACGCACGACTAAAAAACCACTTCGGTTTACTGAAACTTTGTTCCTCTATTGCAAATGCAGTAAGGATGTTGGCGAGAAAAAGCATCATCCCAGAGGAGTTCTCCCTACCGGGGCTTGCTTCTAGGATCCCCCGCAAACCAGTGTTCAGGGACCGGGTGAACAAAGCCCGCTTCATCGCCAAGAGCGGATCCTGCAACTTGGCGCACAAGAACATCCGAGAACAGGGAAGATTCCTGCAAGACGTCTTCACCACTCTGGTGGACCTGAAATGGCGCTTCACCCTGGTCATCTTTACCATGACTTTTCTGTGCAGTTGGCTCCTCTTCGCCATGTGCTGGTGGCTTGTGGCCTTTGCCCATGGAGACCTTGAACCCAACCGCACGTCTGGCATTGAGCAGTGCGTCACCAACGTCAAGTGAGTAGTATAGTATAGGCTCTATACATATTTTGAACTGTTGATGTTTGGGGATTTAACTTCTATATATTTCTGAATGTCTGTATTGTGTGTGGTAACTTGTGTATTTTAAGGGCGGGAATAAATTATATGGATTTATTGGGGACTTTTAGTGCAATTATTACATATACTCAGTTTTAGAATAACTTTGCTATTTTTTATTATAACACTGTTACAGTTATATGATAGAGCTCCTTGCCATAGAAAAAAAGAATTTTCTTCAACTGATAAGGAACTTAAAGGGATACTTTTTTGGCAATGAAGCCCTTTATCAGATGAACTCATGGAAACCATTTTTATGTCTCTGCATCCAGTATGAAGGAAGTTGGAGGTCGTTTCGGGAGCCAATGCTAACTAGCATTAGCGCAATGACTGGAAGTCTGTGGTATCTACTAGCATACTAGCAGTTACCAGCAATGACTGGAAGTCTACGGTATCTACTAGCATGCAAGCAGTTACCATAGACTTCCAGGCATTGCGCTAACGCTAGGTAGCAATTGCGTTAATGATAGTTAGTAACTTCCTTCAAACTGCATGCAAGACATAAAAAGGCTGTCCACGAGTTCATCTGACTGGGGAAGTAGATAAAGGGCTTCATTGCCAAAATCCTGAAGTATCCCTTTAAAAGGGCAAATCTGCAGTTGCTACATTTATCATTGGATTTATAAATTAATGATATGTACCAATTGATTCTTAAAGAATTTAAGTATAATTTATTGTTCAACTGTCATACCCCAGCTGAATGCAAATATAAGCTTGTTTTATTCCAATGTTTGTAAACAAAGTCAATGTAAACAAACACTATAAAGCCTCAAAACATGGAAGTAAAGTAAGTAGCCTTGCACGAGCATTGGCGTGTGCGAGCAGGAAGCGTGAGGCAGCTTGATGTACAAGTACAGGACGCTAGTCTATCACTGGGCCTTAACCCCAATCTCCTTAATGCTGAGTGCCAAGCAGAGACGCATCAGGTCCCATTTTTACAGTATTTGGTATCGAACTCCAATCCTTCCAATCTCAGGGTGGACATTCTAACCACAAGGCCACTGAGACATGGTTAAAACTATCATTTTGATATCATGGATGATCAGTCCTTGCATCCATATCTCCGTCTATGAATTTGAGAGTGGTTACATTTCTCCGGCCCCATCCCTCAGCTTTTTACCGAAGCAGGGGAGTGGAGCACGCTTTGTTATTGTTTCAACTGCTGATTGCCCAGTTAAAGTCTCCAACATATTGCTGTCATTATTTAGTCCTCTGAGATCAGTGGTTGTAGGGGGAAGCAGATGAGGACAGGAAGCCATATGAAACCACACAGCCTGTCCAGTAGCTTCCTGCTCCTCTGACCCCTGTGACCTCTCTACCTTCACCACAGATGTAGGATCAGGTCTCTACACCGCTATTACAGATGTAGGATCAGGTGTCTACAACAAACATCTGACCCTTGACCAATGTTTATGTCCAACGTCTCCCTCCTCTTTAACTCTCATTTCCTCTGACCCCTGACCCCTGACCTTTGACCTGCTCTCTCTGCTCTGCAGGTCATTCACCTCAGCCTTCCTGTTCTCCATCGAGGTCCAAGTGACCATCGGTTTTGGCCACCGTATGATCACAGAGCAGTGCCCCACGGCCATCGCCGTCCTCATCTTCCAGAACATCGCTGGCCTCATCATCAACGCCATCATGCTAGGGTGCATCTTCATGAAGACAGCCCAGTCGCACCGCCGCGCCGAGACGCTCATCTTCAGGTGGGATGGTAGCCTAGAGGTTAGATTAGGTTGGAGAGGCGGGCCAGCAACAGTGTAGGGTGAAGTTGCCCCTAGATCAGGGGTGGGCAAACCTTTTGGCTCAAGGGCCACATTGAGTTTTTGAAACCAAGTGAAGGGCCACATACTATATGCGTGACAAAACATGTGAAGCCTTTATTCATTTTCACATTGACACGCAACTACTAGTGTACTGTAGGTGTACATATGCTTGCAGAACAATTCTACCCTTGTACCATCTCTACCCTTGTTTTTTGTGAACACGTTTTTCACAAATGTTTTACAAATTTTTCACAAAATTGATATAATTTATGACATCACAGACACAGTCAAAGACAGACACAGATCCTGCATCTCTACCCTTGTAAAGTACAATAAAACTTACAATCACAGTATGCAAACTTAAAAATAGATATATATTAAATGACTGGAGACATGCAAAATGTTTTTAAAAAAAGATTATAAAATTTGAGTGAAACATATGGTAAGAGCATCCGTTTCATTTGCAATGGTCTGTTTTTGAAAGCATATTAAGGAACAATTCTCATCTCCATTGTGAGCCATATTTACAGTTATCCAATCACTTCAGCCCAAATCTGACTGAGTAGTTATTACCTGTATCCAAGTGCATTGCTGGATAATTCTCACTGCATAACCATCACCATGAAAAAGCATAATCCTTGCCTACCCCAGTCACGGTTATTCGAGTCTTAATGTGAACAATGGGTCCGGTAACCTCTCTTGGCAAGGGCATCAAAGTCTGGTGTCATCTTTGATGTAGAGATTCTCAGAACAGCTGACAAGTGGTCATTTGTTAAATTTGACCTGTGGCGGGATTTGTTGTAATTCATGACTGAGAACGTTTGTGTCACGACCCGATGCGAGAAACAGTCACTAATAATTGTCAGAACCCAGAAGATGAGGCAGACACAGCAGTACTAGAGATGGTGGTTTAATAAAGAACAAAATCTTCAGGCAAAGAAACTTAATCCACAATGTCCAAAAATAAAGCCAAGAGGCACAAAGAGGAAAACCTCCAAAAAACAAAGAAACTCCACAAAGTGGTAAAAAACAGCAGGGAAAAAACAAACCTCAAAAGACTACTCAAACAGAACACAATAACTAAACCAGAGAACCTCTGGAAAAATCCCACCAGAGAAATATCAATATAACACAAGGCTTGGGCTGGGGCTGGGTGCTAACTTACAAACACTGAGCAAGGAACTGAGGAACACACAGGGTTTAAATACTAACAAGGGAATGACCTACAGGTGCAAACAATAATTAGATCCAGAAAAAACAAAAGGTACAAAAAAGGTGCAATGGGGACATCTAGTGACCAAAACCCGAACAGTCATGGCCAAAACCTGACAGAATCCCCCTCCTAGGAACGGCTCCTGACGTTCCTACCAGCCTTCTCAGGGTGGAGGGCCCTGAACTGACGAATGAGGTCAGGGTCCAGTATGTCCTTGGCAGGAACCCAGGAGCGCTCCTCGGGACCGTAGCCTTCCCAGTCCACCAGATACTGCCAGGACCGCTGCACCCGGCGGGAATCCAGTATCCGGTGGACGGTATAAGCCGACTGGCCACCGATGACACGGGGCGGAGGGGGAGGTCTGCCTGCCGGAATAAGGGGAGAAAAAACAACAGGTTTTAATAAAGAAATGTGAAATGTTGGATTGATCTTAAGGGATCTGGGTAAGTGCAGGCGAAAAGTAACGGGATTGACTCTCCTGGCAATCTTAAAGGGACCGATGAACCTCTGGGACAGCTTGCGAGACTCCACCCGTAGCGGTAGGTTCTTAGTTGAGAGCCATACTCTCTGGCCGGGGTACAGGGTAGGACCGGGACGGCGACCTCTGTTGGCTTGTCGTTGGTACTGCTGAGAGGAACGCAGAAGATTAAGACGTGCCTTCTTCCACGTAAGCCGACAGCGTCTGATGAACCTCGAGGCTGAAGGTACTCTGACTTCTGCCTCCTGGTCCGGGAACAATGGAGGCGCATAGCCAAACTGACACTCATGCGGGGACATACCAGTGGAGGAGGAGCACAAGGTGTTGTGCGCATACTCGGCCCAAACAATGAAGGATGACCAAGTGGACGGGTTGTTGGAAACCATGCATCTGAGGGTGGTTTCCAGCTCCTGATTCATCCTCTCAGTTTGGCCATTGGACTCCGGATGGTACCCGGAAGATAAACTGGCCGTGGCCCCTATGAGTTGGCAGAAGGCCTTCCAAAACCTTGAGGCGAACTGGGGACCTCTGTCGGAAACCATATCTTGCGGGATCCCAAAGACTCGGAACACATGGTTAATCACCAACTCAGCTGTTTCCTTGGCAGAAGGTAATTTGGTCAAAGGAACAAACCTGGCCGCCTTAGAAAACCTGTCGATGATGACTAGGATCGTAGTATTACCATGGGACGGAGGAAGGCCAGTGATAAAGTCCAATGAGATATGGGACCAGGGTCGGTGGGGAATAGATAGAGGGTGAAGGAGTCCTTGAGGGCGAAGGTGAGAAGATTTGCCCTGGCAGCACACGGAACAGGCCTTGATGAAAGTGGCAACGTCTTCCTTCATGGTGGGCCACCAGAACTTACGCTGGATGAACTCCAAGGTGCGGCCTACGCCCGGGTGACAGGTGAGGCGAGAGGAGTGCCCCCACCGAAGGACTTGGGACCTTGCTGCCTTGGGAACAAACAACCGATTAGCAGGACCTCCACCAGGGCCCGGTTCGATGGCTTGAGCTTGTTTCACGGTATCCTCCACTTGCCACGAGATCGGAGCCACGACAAGGCGTCCGGTTTGAGATTCTTCGACCCGGGTCTATAGGTGAGGATAAACTGAAATCGGCTGAAGAAAAGAGACCATCGAGCTTGTCTGGCGTTCAACCGCTTCGCCTGCTGGATATACTCCAGATTCTTGTGGTCCGTAAGCACTTGAAACGGTTGAGAAGCCCCCTCGAGCCAGTGTCTCCATTCCTTCAATGCCATCTTAACCGCTAGGAGTTCACGGTCCCCCACATCGTAATTCCTCTCGGCCGGGGTAAGCCGGTGAGAGAAGAAGGCGCAAGGATGAAGCTTCTTGTCTTCACCCCTCTGAGACAGGACAGCTCCAACCCCAACCTCTGATGCGTCTACCTCCACCACAAAAGGTTCCTCCGCCGTTGGTAGTGTCAGGATGGGAGCAGAGAGGATGCGCTGCTTGAGTCCTTGGAAGGCCATCTCAGCTTCTCTTCCCCACAGAAACCTTGTGTTGCCACCCTTGGTTACCGCCGAGAGAGGGGCTGCCACCGAGCTGAAGTTCTTGATGAACTTGCGGTAAAAGTTGGTGAAGCCCAGGAAACGTTGAACTTCCTTAACGGACTTGGGGGTGGGCCAATCCGCTACCGCCTCTACCTTCTTGGGGTCCATCTGGACTCGTCCGGGTTCCACTATAAATCCCAGGAATTGTACTCGAGAGGAATGGAATTCACACTTCTCCGGCTTAACGTACAAATGGCTGTCTAGGAGGCGTTTGAGCACTTGTCTGACATGCTTAGTGTGTTCTTGAAGGGAGCTCGAAAAGATGAGGATGTCATCCAAGTACACAAACACGAAGATGTTAAGCATATCCCTAAGCACATCGTTTATGAGCGCTTGGAACACAGCCGGAGCGTTGGTCAGGCCGAAGGGCATCACCGAGTATTCGTAGTGACCAGTAGGCGTGTTGAAAGCGGTCTTCCACTCGTCCCCGGGTTTGATCCGCACAAGATGGTATGCGTTCCGCAGGTCAAGCTTGGTGAAGACAACTGCTTCCTGGAGCAGCTCAAAGGCTGTGGCCATAAGAGGTAGCGGGTAGCGGTTACGGACGGTTATGGCATTGAGTCCCCGGTAGTCGATGCAAGGTCGTAATCCGCCGTCTTTCTTGGCCACAAAGAAAAACCCTGCTCCCGCCGGCGAGGTAGATGGACGCATGAGGCCTGCTGTCAGAGCGTCCTTGATGTAGGTATCCATAGCAGCTCGTTCGGGAGGAGAAAGGGAAAAGATCCGACCCCTGGGAGGGCAGGTCCCCGGCAACAGGTCGATGGTGCAATCGTAAGGTCTATGGGGTGGTAGTTTGGTGGCCCTCTGTTTGCTAAATACCAGTTTGAGGTCATGGTAACACTCGGGAACTCGGGACAAGTCGATGGATTCTAGAGACTCGGAAGGAGAACTCTGGGAACTCGGGAAGATACAAGTGGCTTGGCACGTGGGACCCCACTGCTTGATAGTGCCCACAGACCAGTCGATGTGAGGGTTATGGCTGTGAAGCCAGGGATAGCCAAGGACGAGAGGAAACTCGGAACAGGCGATCAGATGAAAGTTCATCACTTCCTTGTGTTGGGAAACTGAAAGTCGTAAGGGGGTAGTGGCACGAGTGACAAGTCCAGATCCCAAAGGACTTCTATCCAACGTAGTAACCCTTATGGGGTCACTTAGAGGTTCAGAAGGAACGCCATTCTCCTTCGCCCAGATCCCATCCATGAAGTTACCTGCGGCTCCAGAGTCTACCAAGGCTTGAAGAGAAACCTTGTGGTCGTCCCAGGAAAGGGTAACAGGAATGAGCAGGCGGGAGTTGGATGGATGGGAGGAGGTTATGTTTCCCGTTACAGTCCTCCCAGGCCTGCACGGGAGAGTGCGTTTCCCTGGAGCCCGGGACACGTGGAGCGGAAATGACCCGGTTTGCCGCAATATAGACAGCATCGCTCCCTCATCCGGCGGTCTCTCTCAGCCTGGGAGATGCGTCCAACCTGCATGGGTTCTGGTGGAGCCAGCGAGGATAAAGGTGGAGACTCGGAGTTGGAACCGATAGGAACTAGGGTGAGCGGTCTATGGTTTTGTTCTCTCTCTCTCAGACGCTGGTCTATGCGTGAAGCCAACTTGATAAGGGACTCGAGGTTGTCCGGTGGTTCCCGAGTGGCCAGTTCATCTTGGATGGTGTCAGAAAGACCCTTCAAAAAACACACTGTGAGCGCCTCGTCG